GAAAACAAAACCCTCTGGAAAAATGGAAAAAAGCTATTTAGTGACATCTCAGAGATTATGCATGAAAAGAAAACAAAGTCCTTACCTCTTCATTATGGCGGCCACAAGTGTTTCAATCTTCCTGATCTATTAATAACCAGTATATCCGGTAAAGATAAAAAGATTTAAATTCTACAGGTTTGCAATAATTAACAGGGGGTCTGTTCAGGGTATGTTTCATACTAATAATTATGTCTCCCTGAACGTAGTCAATACGGCATGCACTTGTAGATTTAGAGTGGACCTTGGAGGTGCGAGATAGGCTCTCTTCCCCCCGATAAAGATTTCCCCAGAATGAGGTTATATGTGCATGTAGAGCTAATAATTTATAATTAAAATGAAATGATAGAGGGGGAAATGGTTATGTTATTAAAACCTGCATATCAAAATACATTAATTCTTGATAAATTTACAAAATACATTTATGAGATTGGTACTCTTGTCACATGGATTATACATGATTTATAGCAATGAAGATTGCGAAATGAATGATTTCCCTAGTCTGCGATTTTCACAATACAAAATCTAGGTACTTGATTTCAAACCACTCTTAAGTCATTTGATAAGTGAAGAAGCATTTTTTTCAAGAGATCCATGTCATGATTTCTACCCAGGTAAAAGCTTCCTCAAAGGTTCTCACTGTAAAACACTCCCATGTTTCGTTTTATAGCTTGGTGGTGTTTAAAATGTCATTATACATATATGTTTTCCTGTCACGTAAAATATCAAAAATCGTAAAAAAGCCAGGAGAACGTCAGATATTTCGGACTAGGTCCTTTGTTGTGCAGTCATGCTTATCTCCTGTAACTGATAATGTTAACATAGAGCAAACCATTTGATAGGGTTGTTCTGTGTTGTTAACGTGAGGAGAGAAACTTGGTAATGAAACACTGACTTCAGGAGGTAAACGTCTGAATTTCAATATTCCTGGATTTGTTGGCAAAGATAATGTCGACATCAGTGATGTCAAATACTTTTTTCAGTTCAAGTAGTCACGGTTTTACTTAAGTTATAATGTGTTTAATATAATTTTCCTTTTTATTTAGAGAATCCAGTTGTTTCGTTTTCATCTCAAAAATTTCAGATTTCTTTTGGTTGACAATATTAATTTCTCTGTTCGAAGTCTTCTCCCTGCTTAATAACAATTGTTTTCAGTTTCTCCTAATGCGTTTCTAGGTTTTGTTTTCTCCCTGAATCTCTTTAAATGTCCTTCATGTTTAGGACATATAGATTGAAATAATTCATGGACATCTATTTCAATGGCCCTTTGTTTGGATTTTTTTTGCATCCAGAAAATTCAAAATAGTATGTCCTGGGTGGCAACCTAAGTATTGATTGATTGATTGATTGATTGATTGATTGTATGTTGTTTAAGTCCCATTCGAGATTTTTTCACTCATATAGACGTCACCGGATGCCGGTAAAGGGCTTCAAATTTAGACCTATACTCGGCACTCAGGGCCATTGAGCAATGAGGTTTCTTTGTCGTGCCAACGCCTACCGTGACATGGGACCTCATCCGAAAGACCCGTGATTTTCACTTCTTGTGCAGGGCACTTAGCGAAGGAACAGTCACTACCTATGTTAACGTCTTGGGTTTGACGCGGCGCGACGAACGAGAATCGAACCCGGGCCTCCCCATCATGCACCCTAAGCAGACCGTACAAGCAATAAAATTGCGTTCCTCTTAGAAAAAAATCAGATTGACCTGGAAAATGGATCTTACATTCTGAATGCTTCTGTGTTATTCCTTTTTTGAGTGAATGGCACTACCTTATGTTCATTTGAAAGAAAGATGTTCCTCACATAATATGACAGTACAATAAAAAGGCAGGAATGCCAAAAAGGTTACAGCGCAGGACATCTTGGGCACTGGACTGCGGGTTCATTTGGAACGTTCTGGAAACTGTTCATCTAGATAGAAAAAAATGAATATCTCTAAGTAAATTGTAAACATAATTAGGAGAAAGCAACAAATGTAAAATCAAAATTAAGTGAAACAAGGTTGTGTTTTTATCACAGCTTATGAGGATTAAAAAACTCTTTCTTGAAAAGTCCAAAATGCTATACTGCTATGAACACTTCATGTTTGAATCTGGAAAATACCCCTCCCCCTTGTTTGTTTGATATCAGCTATTGGCTATCAAAAGAAATTAACTTTTCAACATAAAACATAAAGATATTGAAGATAAATGCATCCGGAATGTGTTGATTCTTTAATTATATGCATGATGATTACTCTCAAACATCAATAATGATGAAAGAATTATATGAGTTTTCAAGTAGATTATTTTAATGAATTTCTTCAATTATAATTATGAAAAAAATCTTGTCTTGTCATCTTTTTTAATAAATAGCTCAGGTATATGATAATGAAAATTTTGGACATAGTACGGTTATGAAAATCAAAATGTTAGATCCAGGATCATGAAGCAGCTCCGTCTTTACATAAAATTTTCATGAAAATAGCAAATACTTAGCTAAAAAGTCTAATAATGTAGCATTAAATGTGAAATATCAGCACACGGATTGCTCACACAAACCATCTATCCTGATTTAAGATGAAATGATAGTGGCATTATGCTTAAAATTGAAAAATAATCCTTGAGAACTGAAGTGTATGGGGTTTGACTTTAAGGAAGACATATGTATGGTTGATGAATAACAATTCTCATAAACCAGGCAGCATTTTGTACTTAAAATTATTGCAATGCTTACTTGTATCAATGGATAAATATAACAGCGGCTAAATTTCTTCAACCGAGCATGGGATTTGGCGGTGTTAATAATTTGTAATTGTGTAATTGACCTTACAGAACAAACCTTAAAGTTTAAATTGTGTTCAATCTAGGGTTTCAATGATATTGCCGTAACACAATAATGTAAAGGCATAGTTTGACAAAACCAATATATACATGTAGCAAGAACAGAAATAATGATATTAAGACCTACACTGTATCTGACAAGGATCCATAAAGCATTTTTAAATAATGCATATTATTGCCTTTACAAGATGCATCATGATAACAGAACACCTTGTACAAAATCGATAAATTAGGTTAAGTGACCTTGTACTTGTTTGAATACGCTAAAAGAGTACCAAGTAGGAACTGCTTGCAGTTAAAATGAATCTGTATTAAAAGATGTGATATCAAGAAGGTAGGATATATATTTTCTTTCAAATTCTGAAGTCTAAAATTGAAAGCGTATTATGTCAACTAGTCTAGAAGTGAACACGAAATCTAATCAAAGAACGAAAGTAAATGGAAGCGGTTAACAATGCATTTTATTTCAACTGGGCAGAATTTTATGCTTCAAAGCCATATAACAAAATCTGTGCTGGAAACAGCTGTTAACTACTGCAGAAAATAATGATAAGATAATAATTTAGACACGATATCAGTTTTCCTTGACTTGAATGAAGAACATATCTAATAAACTGACAACAAATCCCTTACATCTTTTTTCTTGTAATTTCCAGGATTTTTATGTTATGCATTACCTTCCATAGGCAGAATCAACCAGTTAGTCAACCCGATATGTATTCATGGTCGACCAGTCACAAATATTATACATGTAAATGTTCTACATTGCAAATGTACATGTAGAGATTTTCTCCATTTCTTGTCATTCTACGCTTCTCTGTGCAAATGTCCCCCCTCAGAGCATTCTTCTATAAGAAACTTCGTAAACATTTCCGCTCTGAAGTTAATTTTTCTATAAACAAATAGCTATATTCTTTCTTAATCCACCCTGCTATCGTTTTGTTTTTCTAGTTCTTGTCCAGAGAAATATAAACAGCAGGCACTTGACGAACGTATTTCAATGAGAGAGCAACGTTTTTGGTCCGAGACTCCGGTGTTGTCCTAGATACAGGAAATGTTATTTTTAATCCTACATTAGCTCAGTCATAAATAAACAGATATCTCCAGAATTTTATACGAATGGCAATTTCTATACATTAATTCTTTTTCTAATGCTCATAATACATAATAAATATTAAATGCATCAAATAAATTTCTGTCATTGATTTAACATATCAAGAGTTAGTACAAGGATTGCATCATATTTAAACAAAACGTCTGCAAAAATATGACGAGTAAATCAAGTTTATAAGGCAAAACTGAGCATTAACCTCCATTGATTTGATCAAAGTGACATATGTCAACAAACATAACAGAGAAATATTGATTTTGCCAAGGACAAAATACAGTACAGTTTCTTTTCCCTTTATTTATCTTTATTTTTTTTATTCTCCTGTGCGAACTTTCCCGCCTCGTCTTTATACATGTATCGTTATGGTGTTTACAGATTATGTTTTTAGGAAATAATTTTTTACTGATTCAATAGTTACTGTAGTAGTAGTAGTAGTAGTAGTAATAGTAATAGTAGTAGTATAGTAGTAGAGGAGGAATTCTCAAGTTTGTATATCTAGCAAAAAAAAAGATATCGATATCTTATAGTATAATAGTTTGACTTCAAATACAAATCTATTAACAATTTAACATGCATATGCATGACTAAGTAAAATAAATAAATAAAAATAAATAAATGAAATAAAAAATAAAGGTATCTCATGTTGATGTAAGAGAGAATATTTGTGTATTATAAAATATATCAGCGTTTAACGTATGATAATTTTTCAAAAGAAAATATATGCACACAAATCATTCAAATAATACTGCTTCTATAAATAAGATCATGGCAGTGTTTCTTATTCTGTACAGACCATTTAACGTGATTATATGATAAAAGGTTTTTAAAAGAAGATTACATCTGATTTATCGAATAGAACTTTAACAAATAGAACTTAATGCCTTAAATATTTCTTTGACAGTTTAATAATTTAGATTTAAAATAAAAGATTTCAATTCCTTTCCTAAATAAATGAAGGATCTATAAAATCAAACAACTATATATGATATTTACAGGTTAATACCACATTAGTATTAGAGTTCACGATGGATCCCAGACTCAGTGCCCAAGACATTCTGCGCTGTAAACTGTGTGACACTCCTATCCCGCTGATGTACTGTGCCTTTTGTCAAGTCAGTCTCTGTAAACCATGTGTTGGAGAGCATCTTTCTGATTTATCCACAGAACATAAAGTGGTGCCCTTTAAGCAAAGGGGGTTTACTCCTATTTTGACTAAATGCCGAGATCATAAATTGAAACATTGTGAACTTCATTGTGAAAACTGTCATATTCCTGTCTGTTTGCTTTGTATCTCTTCTGACAAACATCAAGGGCATAGAATATCCAATACTTTGCAAAACTTTGCATTCAAAAAAGAAACATTACAGAAAGATTTAACGTTATTAGTGGAAGTTATTAGTCCAAAGTATGAAAACTTAGCGTCGGAAATAAAGATGCAAAAAGGGATTGTTGAAGAAAAATACAATGATTTGACATTATCCGTTGTCAAACATGGAGAGGACTGGCACAGGCATGTTGATATTGCAGTCAGCAAACGCAAATCTGAAATTGAAGAGAACAAGACGAAACACCTGTCTGCCCTAAGCAAACATGAAGTTGAAACGAACCAAATGTGGTCATATGTTAAAAAAAGTATTACCGAAATCAAAACAATACTTAATTCTGACGATATTTCCCTTGTATCTGAATATAAAAGGGAATCTGAGGCATTGAAAAAAGTGCCTCCAAATTTGAAAATTATGGGACCACAATTTGCATCTGGAGAAATAGACGACGAAAAGCTTTTACAGTTATTTGGAAACTTTTCCCCTATAACTATTGCCTTCGAAGATGAAGAGGACTTGACTTTGACGACTGCGGAGGGTACTTCCTTGATTCTCGATGTTACTAAAGAGAAGCCAACCTCTCCACAATCGCTGAAACCACTTATTTGTGGCTTAGACTCTGGAGAAATTACAGACACTATAAATACTGGATACCAAAATCTGCGCAGTGTCAGCTGCCTAAATGATGAGGAAATTTGGACTTGTGGAACAGACAATATTATATCTCTCTTTAATTTCCAGAGCCCATTATTAAAGAAAGTCAAAACAATTTCAGGAGGCGAACCCTGGGACATTACAGTGACAAAAAATGGAGAACTGATATACACAGACGATGATGCAGGAACTGTTAACGTTGTGAAAGATAAAGGAGCTAAGGAATTGATAAAGATGAGAGGGTGGAAGCCCTACAACGTTTGCTGCACAATGAATGGAGATTTATTAGTCATCGCTCTTAGTAAAGACTGGAAAAGAACGAAAATTATACGGTATTCTGGAACTACAGAAAAGCAGACGGTAGAGCTAGATGATTCAAGAAAGCCTCTTTTCAAGGTTGGAAAGTTTTACAGATACATATTAGAGAACAGAAATAAAGATATCTGTGTAGCTGATTGTGGAGCTGGCTCAGTGTTTGTGGTCAACTTTGCCGGCAAAGTTCGGTTTAGATATTCTTGTCATTCATCTATAACCAAGAAAGAAGCATTCACGCCACGAGGCATAACAACAGATAGCCAAAAGTAGATCCTGACGGCCGATTGCAATAATAATTGTGTGCACATCCTGAATCAGGAAGGAAAATTCCTTCGTTTTCTTGATAACTTTGATCTGGAGAGCCCACATGGATTGTGCACAGACAGCAAAGACAACCTTTATGTGGCCGAGTGGGACAGTGCAAAAGTCAAAAAGATAAAATACAAATAGATATGTAATCTAGTTGCTTTTACTCAATACATGTATAAGTGCAGATTTCATGCACTAAAACAAAGCCATGAGTTGAGTGATATACAAGCTTTGTTTTTTCAGCAAGATGCAGCAGATATATATCAGGTTTAAATATAATCAGAACTGCAGTTGACGTTGGAAACCTATATGTTAAAGTATCGGTTTATAATATAAACAGCATAAATTGATTTACTTTTCTAAATTGATGATTATATCAAGTAAGAGATATCTTAGGTTGAAATCATTTTGATTTCTGGCATTTTTTTAAAAATCATTTTATTCTTGATTTTCACTTAATAATATCTTGTTATTGTTTGATAAGATTCTTTTCTACTGGCTTTAAAGTTGACCATTTCTTGAACTACCACCAAAGAGCAATATAGATTTGTTTTGTCAAGATCACTGTACAGACAAAGAACAGCGACGTATAGGTGTAATGATAGATGCTCGTACGTAGAAACACGGCTTTCCAAAACATTCCAAGTAATTTGCGGACATAAACATATCTTTGTGAAACATGCATTATATGCCTAATCGAAGAAGTAACAATTTATTTTCTTCATTAAACTTAAAAAGAATTTGAATAAAATTTGTATATAACATCCTTTATTTGTTTGTTGTTTTAGCCCTCCGTATCAAAAAAATAAACTGTTACGTGTGTGTGTCTGTCTGTCTGTAATGTGGTTTGCATGTCTGTAAACCTTTAACAGGTACAATTTCAACCTGGACTACTGAGCCAAATTTTGATAAAATACTCCACAATGTATCTTCGGCTAAAGAAAATGAAATTTTAATTCCAAAGAAAGGGCATTACACTTTTCAAGATGAAGTTACTGATTATGAAATGTTAATAAAATGCCCTTCTCAAAAACATAAATCCATTAAAGAGATAGAGAGAAAAAAACAAAAATGTTCCCTTATGTTCCGTGCATGTAAGTTTGTTCCAATTATGCCCTTGCATTTTGACTTGGGTTTGAGTAGTCAAATTGCACAGGAGCCTGTGTCTTTACAATCCTTTAAAATTAGGAATATGGGATTGAGACTTATTACATGTAGTATCTATACTAAGTAAAATGTTGGCAGTTGAAATCTTTAACGTTAATGTGTTAGTCTTTCCTTATATATTAAAGCTAAAAACCGTAAATGTACAGACCAGATGGGGAAAAGAGTGACACAAAGGGGCGTGTATAAACACAATCGATGATTGCTTGCTTATGGTATCAATATATAAAGATTATTTTTTCATATTTTACATACTAGTAACCTGTAGTGTAACTTTTATTTTCCATATACTTTTCAATGTTGCACGTTGATATTGTACAAACGTCACGTCCTGGATTGGGTGCCTTGTATTTGTCAAACATCGTTTTGTATTCACAACAGTTTTCAAATATTGCTTAAATCACATTGACTTGATACACGAACATTCTATCGGTATGTAGACAAGTCCATGTTCACCTTAAACTGCATAAATTGGATCAATTGTATCGTATACTGGGATACTCTAGCTGCGGAAGTATTTGGCAATCCTTTTTACAGAGAGGAATTTGAAAAAAAAACGTGTTTTGTGTTTTGATGGATTTTCCTTAAAGTAAAGTATAATAGCTATCATTTGTTTGGCTCATTGTAATTTTTTAATCAATTAAGTCAACAAACTCATTGAAGAGGATACACACTAGTAGAAAACAATGTATTATGATAAGCCTCTTATGAAATAAATAATAATGGAATTTTTTTTTACTTATTTCAAACGAAATAAATAGCAATGGAATATGAGATCTATGACAATAGCTTCAAGACTTACAAGATACTGAAGTGCAATCCATTCTTTGGCGGATATGGACAGTGAATGCAAAATAAACCATTATAATTTAATTTCGTTTGTATTCTAGCCTCTGATTGGTTAATATCCAAAAAGGAACACAAATTATTTCTGTATAACCCCTGACAACCAGCTGAATCATCTGTATCCATACAATCCTCTCATTTCCAGTCCTCGGGATTCATGGAAAATTCCATATTTAATAAATGTACCTTTAACTTCAAACAACAATTCGATTTTACCACATGCAAACAAACAACATGGCTGCTAGGCCTATGTATCAGTTTTTACCTTCCCTCCCTTCCCATCACTTCCGTTACTACGGTTGTATTATTGAGCAGCAAATTTGAACTAATGAAAAAAAAGCGTAAACTGACCCAAACCAGGTTATACTCGAATAATTTGGCCAAGAATTAGAGTCATTCCTAAAATATATATATATATATATATATATATATATATATATATATATATATATATATATATATATATATATATATATATATATATATATATATATATATATATACATGGAGATGTTGAATTTTTGCGATTTCTTTTATTTATATTCAGTTAGACAACAACAACAAAAATACTTACAAAATTACCCTTATGGTCTAAATGACCATTCTTAATCTCAAGCTCAAGTTCTAAACCGACTCTTAAGGACGTGTATATTTTGCTGATTATGCTGAGGTATCAGCTATTTTCACGTAACTCCTCTGGTTTAATCAATTAAAATATGCATATATTTTTGCACACTATCTTCCTATTATCTATTCACGTTTTAATTCTTTGTAGTTTTTATAGTCTTCTTAAAAATATTTAGAAAGTTTAATAATTATTCCAGATCATAAGTTTACAGGAAAAGGAATTTCATGCTTTAAAAAGGTTAGAGGAGAATTTGTTTGATTATAGAGTAATTTCCTTTCATCTTTTTGTGTTATACACATACTATTTTACAATCGAAGCCCCGCTTCACGGCAGGCGTTGGCATGATAAAAATTCTTCACTGCTCAATGGCGTAAAGTGCTGAGTAAACCTTACATGGGCAAACGGTGACGTCTCAGATGAGTGCAATAATCTTACAATATAAGTAAAACAACAAGCAGCAAACAAGTGTGCTAGAAGGAGCATTGGTTCTTAGTCAAATAAAGGAAGTGTACACGTTAATTTCAGCATAGTTAATCAAACAATCTTAATTTTTCAATATTTACATGGATGAATAGTTTTGTACTAAAAAATAATATCCAAAAGAACTTTACACTAAAGGTCAAGATCTAGTAAATGAAAGGTGCCTACAGATTTTTCAAATTTGAGAAACGAGTTCTTTTAATGATCCTCTAGAAATATAGCTTGGTAACATAAGATATATCAGGACACAAATTTTAGTAAACTCAACCCAAAACATATTTAAAACTCTCATTTTCAATGAAAAATGAAGAAAGTCAGTTATAAACTTCTGAGGGTTTTTTTTTTCATCTCGAAAAAGGAAATGTATCAGTACTGCCCACTAGTCTGTCAGAAAAAGGTTTTTCGTATCTTCTTCTACTTTTAAATATTAAATTGAATATAGGTATCGGGGTTACTTTTGACATGATTTCAAATTTATATCCATGAATATGCTTCTTTTGCTACATAATTCTATTACAGGCGTAAAGTACGGGAAAAATTAAGTTAGTCCTATCCTCAGGTTCTGAAAATCAGACATTGAATAATTGAAAATGTTCACAAAAAAGTCTCTGTATTCTCAAAGTAATGTGAATTTACACAGGTAATTGTTCAAACTCCATCATTAAAGTTAATCAAAAGTTAATCATATTATATAGGAAAAATTAGTAGATCTCAAATAAATTTTCAGGAAATGCGAAAAAAGACACATACTATGCATTTTCTAATTGGAAATTGATCAACAAAAACATTGTAGGATAAAATACTATAGGTATTCAGGCATTTGAAGAAAATTGCATCATTTTTATACTTATACAGTACTTTAATTTCTTCTGTGTACTTCAATTATTTTATAATGCATAGTTTATAAAGTGTTTCCTATCATTGCAAATCGCCATAAATCAGTTCTAATTTCATATCATGCTAATTCGCATTGGTATCTAAGGCTAAATTAAAGAAAAAGACGATTTCTTCAAATCTTTATTTTTAGCATACCTTTGTAGGGTAAAAATATCAACGTTTTAAAAGACTGTTTCAAAGAACCTTGAATCACATTGAGATGCATAAAATGAAAATTGTTGCATAAAAAGATTTCATATTTAATCTTCATTTCGAGACTTTTTGAATTAAATGATAAATCAAAGAGTTATCCTTCCTGGCTGAGGATCGGATATCCTTAAAATCAATCATGACGTTATAATGGATCAAGCACCAAAAAGACACTCATTTAGTAGATATTGACCTTAAAAAACCTAAATACACCAAAATTGATAGAATTATTCGCGTGGGTATGCTGAACTGCATTCAAATAATTATCCTGAAATGCAAGTAGTTCTAACAATGCTGCTACTATTTGAAATGGCATAAGAAGGTAAAATTTCTCTTAAAAATGGCATTGAAATGTACAAAACTTCAAAACTTCAATTCAAAGTTAAGTAGATACGTTTTTGATACAAGTATAAGTAACTCTGGACAACATAAAGCCATGTGCAATATACTATCTTTGTTATGTGTTATTGCTAGTAATTAATCATTCAATTTTTAGGAATTTATTTCGTACCATAATAAATTAATCATGTATATTCATTGCATAGAAAGTGTTAGGCTTTACTGTAAATGTCAATATTTAACTTCACAGTGATGATGTGAGTAAATCAAGAAGAATGTCAACAGCTAACTCTAATTCATCCACCGTTCAGTAATCATTAAACTTTTTTTTTATTTCATCTCTAGAACCGCTGAGCCAATTTCAAGCAAACTTGTTACACAGCATTCATGGCTGAAGAGAGCCCGGAGCTGTTCAATTGACTAGTCACACAATTTTAAGGAGAGACGTTAAAGAAATAAATTGTAGGGAAATATTTTGTCATCTTTCTAAACTAATTCCAAGACCTACTTGTTGATAATAGAGCCTTTATGAGTAGTACTAAGTAGAAGAGTAACGACGAAGAAGCGGGAATCTCATGCCATGCTTTTTATAATTGGTCATACATACATGGAGAACCAGTTTAAGAAAATAATATTTAGGATTTCAAATTAAGATTGTAAAATGAAATTATCAAAATAATCAACACTACTTGGCGTTAAAAAAAAAAGCAGAGATAGATTGCTTATTGGTGTAGATTGAAAAATTGTTTAAACCTGACATTCTCTCCTAGGGGAGGGTAAGGGGAGGCTATTTCTTCATGTAACGTGTGTAAGGGAAAAAATTTTACAAAATAATTTCTGGCTTGATCACGTAACCAACCAAGTTTATTTCCAAGTGAACGTTTTAACATTTTTATTTATTTGTAATACAGAACCTCCCAGTTGTTTATTTCTTAAATGTTTGGAAAAACCTTTCTCTAACTGCAATAAAATGTTTTGTGTTACCTGGGTACATATCAATTATACAATATTTAAAATACTTATTAAAAAAGCCTTTATATGATTCTTTATACAGATATGAATATAAACAATAAACAATAAAATGTCTTATTTCGTTTGTAAGTACAGGAATTAACGGTTGCTGGAAAAAAATTATGTCACCTGCTTTTTGTTTACATTTTATTCAATTGTCATTATACGTAGATTTGAAACATCTAAGATATTCGGAACTAAGACAAGTTAATACGTTTCTCTAATATAGCGATATGCTATATTCTAATTACATCCCTAAAGTTATTTAGTTCTAGCCCAACACGTTTTCTTGATTTCAGAGCCTTGTGACCTTTACCTTAGAACATTGATCTTAATCGTGATTACATCGCTCCTAAAGATCGTGAACATCAATATTTAAAACATTCAATGATTGAAACTGAAGGCCCTTGGTTATGTTCAGAACAAAAAAACTCAATATATTTTGACATTTGAGACATAATGTTGTTCCAAATCATGAAAGAACATCACTTTTCTTAAGAAAATTTTGAGTTCAAGTCCAGTACAATCTATTGTTTCTGCCTTACAGGGTGTATTACTATAGCTTATAGTGTTTTATGAAGACATAACCAATATCTCTTGAATTTGTTGGGGTATGAAAAGAAATATTCGTGCTGAGACCTTTGATTGATTGATTGTATGTTGTTTTGCTTCACATTGGACAATTTTTCACTCAAATAGAGATGTCATCATAAAACGGTAAAGGTGTTTAAATTTAGACCTGTACTCGGCTCGCTGTGCCATTGAGCAGTGATGGTTCTTAATCGTGCCAACGCCTATATTGACAAGGGACCTCGGTTTTTAAGGTCTCCTCAGAAAGACAAGTGTCTTTCACCTTTAAAGTTTGCGCTTGGCGAAGGAATGATTCTACCTATGTTTAATTTTAAATTTTAAGCGACGAGCCTACCGAGAATGGAACCCGGGCCTCCCGATAAAATCCCTTGAAGCTTTTTTTTTTTAAAATAGTGCATGTGATCTGCTCTACACGGTGCATAGTGATAGTGCAACAGAACTATATGTACAAAATCGATAGATTAGATAAAGCGGCCTTGTTCTTGTTTGAATACGTTGGAGAGTAGTTCGGATTGGGTTTAAAATTTATACGTCTTTTTAAAACGTTTACATCAAGAAGGTAGGACACAATTTTACTTTTCCCTTTCAAATTTCAAGTTCAATGTGTCAGAATTTACTTAATAACTGAACTTACATTATGTAAATTGGTCTAATCAATAACTTTAGTCTTGAACGGAACACGTAATGTGTAAAGAAAGACAATCAAGGCACTGAAAGCGCTAATCAACACATTAGTTTGTTTATGATGAAATCCATACATCTATACACAGCTGACGACGATTACAAAAAATATGGAGAATTATGTAGGCACTATGCCAATCCTAATTTTTTCTTGAAAAAAGAAGACCATTTGTAATCTAACTGTAATTAGGTTTCCTTTCTTTGTGTTTCTTGTAAAAAAGTATATAAAACGCTGCAATGCATAACCTTCCAAATATTTCTGTGGACGACTCACAAAACATCGATCTGATCTTCTTTGCAAACACCAAAACTAATGTACAGTTTCCCCCATTTTTTAATTTTTTTTTTTTTTTTTGTCCTTCTAAGCCTCTCTTTGCATATGTGCTAAAATTGTCATCCTTTTCTTTAAGGTCAAGATCTAATAATTTAATTTTGTTTGTATTCTAGCCTCTGATTGGTTAATATCCAAAAAGGAACACAAATTATTTCTGTATAACCTGGTTTGGTATGGGGACACACCCCCTGACAACCAGCTGAATCGTCTGTATCCATGCAATCCTCTCATTTCCAGTCCTCGAGATTCATGGAAAATTCCATATTTAATAAATGTACCTTTAACTTCAAACAGTAACTCGGATCTTACCACATGTAAACAAAAAACATGGCTGCTAGGACTATGTATCAGTTTTTACCTCCCCTCGCTTCCCATCACTTCCGTTACTAGGGTTGTATTATTGAGCGGCAAATTTGAACTAATAAAAAGCAACGAAATTTTACACCCACAGTTGTTTAATGATTTTAGAATTAAATTATAAGGAATGTCTCTAATTCTTGGCCAAATTATTCGAGGATAACCTGGTTTGGGTCAGTTTACGCTGTTTTATAATCCGCTTCGCGGATTATAAAGCGTAAACTGACCCAAACCAGGTTATCCTCGAATAATTTGGCCAAGAATTAGAGTCATTCCTAAAGTAACTGATTTTAGACTAACTTTTGGTGCTACATCCATTATGACGTCATAATCATTTTCAACTTTCTTTTACCCGTACTTTACGTCCCTAATAAAATTATGTAGAAAATAAAGTATTTTCATGGAATCCAGTTTGAAATCATTTGAAAAGTAATCCCGATACCTATATTCAATTTAATATCATTTTAAAAAAGTGGCCAAGAACATACAAATTACCGTTTTCTTAGAGACTGTAGGCAATCTGGATACATTTCATTTGTCTGATTTGGAAAAAAACTCCCGTATTCATGACAGGTTTTCTTATTTTTTCATTGAAAATGACAGTTTAAAATATGATTTTTTTTCATCCTGTTTACCTATAAATTATGCCCCAAAACAACTTCTTTGACCAAGCTAAACTTATAAAGCATCATTAAAGGAATTTATTTCTCAAACTTGAGAAATCTGTAGGCACCGTTCATTTACTAGATCTAGACCTTAATGATTATTACGTAACTTAAAAGGCGAATTTCTCTAAATCTCAGAGCTTCGCTCCATTGATAACGACATACATGTACATGTAAATATTTCAACTCTATAGGAAAGGTACTGTAAATGAATAGATTTATTCTATTTTAATTTATCAAGCTGTCGTCTTAAGTTGTCCTACTCGTTCTCCACAGAAATATAGACGACAGGCACATGACATCCGTTATCCAATAAAACAGCAACACTTGGTCCGAGACACCGTTGTTGTCACAGGTAGAGAAAATAAAAATTTTAATTCCATTTTTTTAATTTATTAATAAACAAATAGCTCCTATTAATTACGTCAAAAAAAAAAATTAAAAAAAAAAAAAACCCCTCTGTCACTGGTTGAAAATAATAAGAATTAATATTTGGTTAACATAATATTTGAATAAACTGTCTACAGAAATATGCCGGGTTAATCAAGTTAATAAGGCAAAACTTGGCCCTGTCATCCATTGGATTGATCAATCTGACATATTTCAAGAAAGGATGAAAAGGATCAAATACAATGAAGTCCCTTTTTTCGAATTATTTATATTTTTTTCTTCACTCTCCGCTTCCTGTGCGAACCTTTTCGCCTCGTCGTTATGTTGCTTATAGATTATGTTTTTAGGAAATGAATTATAACTGATTCATCATTTGTTCACATTGAATACTAAAATGCTGAGAAAGTAGAGATGGAATTCTCAAGTTTGCATATCTATCAAAAGAGATATCGATATCTAAAAGCATAATAATTTGACTTCAAATACAAATCTGTTATCAGTTGTACATGCATATGCTTGACTACGGTGCAAAATAAAGGTATCCCGTGTTCAGGTAATAGATAATATTAGTGTACATTAAAATATATCAAAGTTTAAGGTGTGATACTTTCCATATAAAAATATATGCAAACATGACATTCTGTAAATACTGTTGATATTAAAAAGAAGATCATGTCAGTGTTGCTTATTGAGTCGACTAAAGACCATCTAATTTGATAATATGATAAAAGTTTTTTTTATGGAGATAACATTTGATTTAACGAATAGCTCTGATACACTAAGTCCTTCTTGATCCTTTTAATATTTGTTTACCGGTTTATTAGTTGAATAAGGTTTTAATGTATGTGATTTTTATAGGTTAATGTTACATAAATTTTAGAATTCACGATGGATCCCAGATTCAGCGCCCAAGACATTCTGCGCTGTAAACTGTGTGACACTCCTATCCCGCTGATGTACTGTGCCTTTTGTCAAGTCAATCTATGTAAACAATGTGTTGGGGAGCATCTTTCTGATTTATCCACAGAACATAAAGTGGTGCCCTTTAAACAAAGAGGGTTTACTCCTACCTTGACGAAATGCCTAGATCATAAAATGAAACATTGTGAACTTCATTGTGAAAATTGTGATATCCCTGTCTGTTTGCTTTGTGTCTCTTCCGACAAACATCAAGGGCATAGAATATCCAATATTTTGCAAAACTTTGATTCTAAAAAAGAAATATTACAGAAAGATTTAAGACTATTGGAGGAAATTATTAACCCAAAGTATGAACAATTAGCGTCGGATTTAGAGACACAGAAAAGGTTTGTTGAAGAAACATACAAAGATTTGACATCATCCGTAGCCAAACACGGGGAGGATTGGCACAGGCATGTTGATATTGCCGTCAACAAACGCAAATCTGAAATTGAAGAAAACAAAAAGAGACACTTGTCTGCCCTGAACAAACATGAAGACGAAATGAATGAAATGTGGTCAAACGTTAAAAAAAGCATTGCTGATATAAAAACAATACTTAATTCTGGAAACATGTCCCTTGTATCTGAATATAATGGGGGAACTGAGGAATTGAAGAAAATGCCTCCAAATATGAAAATTACGGAACCACAATTTACAGCTGGAGAAATAGACGACGAAAAGCTTTTACAGTTATTTGGAAACTTTTCCTCAATATTCATAACCTTTGAAGATGCAGAAGACGTGACTTTGACGACTACAGAGGAAACCTCCCTGCTCCCCGATGTAACTAAAGAGGAGCCAACATCTTCACCATCAAGTAAAACTCTTACTGGTGACTCAGAGTCTGGAAAAATCATTGACACCATAAATACTGGATACGAAAATTTGCGTAGTGTCAGCTGCCTAAATGATGAAGAAATTTGGACCTGTGGAACAGACAATATTATCTCTCTGTTTAATTTCCAGAGTCCGTTACCAAAAAAAGTCAAAACAAATTCAGGAGGCGAACCCTGGGACATTACAGTGACAAAAAATGGGGAACTGATTTATACAGACGATGATGCAGGAACTGTTAACGTTGTGAAGGATAAAGAAATTAAGGAATTGATAAAGATGAGAAGATGGAAACCTAACAATGTATACTGTACAATGAATGGAGACTTATTAGTCATCGCTCTTAGTAACGACTGGAAAAGAACGAAAATTATCCGGTATTCTGGAACTACAGAAAAGCAGACGATTGAGCTAGATGATCTGCGAAAACCTCTTTTCAAACCTGGAAAGTTTTACAGATACATGACAGAGAACAGAAATAAAGATATCTGTGTAGCTGATTGTGGAGCTGGCTCAGTGTTTGTGGTCAACTTTGCCGGTAAATTCCGATTTAGATACTCTGGTCATTCATCAAGTACCAAGAAAGAAGCATTTGCACCACGAGGCATAACAACAGATAGCCAAAAGCAGATCCTGACGGCCGATTGCAATAATAATTGTGTGCACATCCTGGACCAAGAAGGAAAATTCCTTCGTTATCTTGATAACTTAGATCTGGAGAGCCCACATGGTTTGTGCACAGACAGCAAAGACAACCTCTACGTGGCCGAGTGGGACAGTGCACAAGTCAAGAAGATAAAATACAAATAGACAGGTAATCTATTTGCTTTTACACAAAGCATGTACATGTATAGCTGAAGTGTTCATGCACTAAAACTATTGATTGGAATGAATATTTTCTTATTTTCTTTTTGTTTTACCTTCATTAGTACAAGGTTATAGTGAACACGCTTATTTTGTATTCACGCTTACAGTGAAGTGATTTTCATTCTTCGTAGTTTTAAAACGCATTGAAAACTAAATTGAAATAACAAATCACGTTTATAACGGATCAAAATTGCTTGTCCCTGGCACTTCGCTATAAGCGTGTTTTACAGTAGATTGAAATATCGATTTGTTTAGAATACTCAGTCGTTAATTATTAATTAATTTATCGAGTAATGTACAAGCTTTGTTTTTCAGCAAGAATGCAGCAAAAGTTGATGATCAATGAACGAGATGCAGCAGATTTATATCGGGTGTAAATATGATAAGAAGTGCAGTGAACGTTGGAAAACTATGTTAAAATATCAATGTATAATATCAACACCACAAATTGAACACATTTAATGATTATACGAAATAAATTATTTCTTACGTTGAATTCATTTTGAATGCTGGTATGTTTTTTTTTTCCTTTTTAGGAAATCAAATAACTCTTGATTTTCACTTAATATGTATTTTTATTGTACAGTACGATTCCTTTGTAATAACATTAAAGCTCTTCTTCTCTTGAACAACCACCAAAGAACAGGAATAGAATTTTTATCAATTAAGACTTCTGCGTAGCAAATTAGTGGACGTCACTACAGCTGCTCTTACTTATAGAAATACAGCTTTTTGGAACATTCCAAGTAAATTTGTGAACATTTACTATCTTTACTATGTATGCATATTTAAAAAGTCAGAGTTTATTTTTTTAATATGAACCTTTGAGAAGAATGTAAATTAAGTAGTATAAGCATTCCTCAGTTGTTTGTTGTTCCCTAATCTAGAGACGCTGTTGATATGTTCTGATTAACGTATGTCTGTTATATTATATGTCATGTCTCCAAACCTTTTACATGTACACTTTCAACCTGGTTCACCAAGCCGATTTTTTTTAAAAAAAAATTATCTTCAGAAACAGAAAATCAAATTTTATTTTATTTAAAAAAAAATCAAAGATGAAATAACTGAAATACTGATGTAAACAAATTCCTTTTTAGGAAACAAAAGCAACAATGACACCGCAAAGTAGAGCATCCCCTCGCAAAAGAACATATCAATCCTGATATGAATTATTACTTGCTTAACTTTTCTTACGCATCAACTCACTTATTTCTTCACTTAGGGCAGTTATTCTAGTTTAAGAGTTGTTGTAAAATGTGCTTTATATATATATATATATAGAGAGAGAGAGAGAGAGAGGGAAAGAGAGAGATCAAATTTCGAAACAAAGTGTTCCTGGCAAACATCTGAAGCAATAAGTTTGCATAAATACCAAGATCATCAGACATTTGCAAAAATCGTGTTAAAATAGATAGACTTTGCGAAAATTAGGGACATTATTGGCAAGTTATCAAAATACTATATGAAGTCGTGACGGCAAAGGCAACAACAGGCGGTGTGGACACTATTGTGTATGGTGCTGACACAAAACAAGAACAGATTCAACTTGTTCTGCTTTAGCACAAGGTTATCCAATAGACGTTTATATTGAAACAAGTGGGATGGCTTTACATACCCAATGCAGAAACTTTTGTTAAATTTTATAACAAATTTAAAAGTAATGAGTATCACCTGCTGCAAGTCTGGATATAAAAATTTTAGAAAAAAATTAATGACTGAATAGAAGACAATAGTTACTTTATTTCCTGATAAGAACGTTATTTCACACTGATCATCAGTGGGGTACCTAGTCATGTTCTAGTACATACATAGTATTGTAGTATTAAGAAACAGATATATGATATAATATAAAAAACAGCACAGTATACAATGATGAAAAATGGCTTAAAAACCTCGTGTGGTTCCGGAATGACTTTGACGGTTATGCGATAGAATTGGAAATTAATCGATAATTACCTGTAAATTGAAGATTGATTGAAATTCAACTTCATTTCAATCGGGAAATGGAGGAATCACATGTCACACCCAGTTCTCTATTTCTCAAAGTTTTAATTAGATTTTTCGTAAATTCAAGTTTGTTTGGGTTATTTATTTTTACCCACTGTACATTATTTAAATACTTAACTCTGATATGCAAGCCTATCTCATGCGATTCCTCCACACCGAATTCTACTTCATTACTCCACAAGGTAATGAAGTAGAGTTCCAATTAAACTACAACTTACAGGTAAGTCTCATTTAATGTCTAGTAATGCACATAATATTTTATCCATCAAAACAACAACACAAACGTAAGTAATCCAAGATTAAAAAGATCACATCGACGAATGTTATCTATTAGTGAAGACAATGTCTCTCATCAATTTTGTGTTCTGGTACTGTGCACATCTAGATGCGACAACCCTGCAAGTTTTGTCTGGATATGTTTTATAGTTTCTGGTAACATTTCAAAAATTTTAATTGTTTCCATTATTTTCAAAATATAGATCAGATCATACAGGTAAGTCAAATGTTGCATCTGAGGCATGCTTGGTAGTGTTTTTCATTAGATGCATCAGTCACCCGCGTGGCGCAGTGGTTAGAGCGTCTGCTGTAGAGTCGCGGAGTAAGGAGTTGATCCTTACGTCGCGGGTTCGAATCCCACTGTGGGACGTGGAGACCTGTCCTTCGGATGAGACTGTAAAAACCGAGGCCCCGTTTCGCAGTAGGTGCTGGCACGAAAAAGATCCCTCACTGCTCAATGGCCGTAAGTGCCGAGTATAGGACAAAACTTGCAGCTCTCCACCGGCAAGTGGTGGCGTCTCCATATGAGTGAAAGATTCTCGAGAGGGACGTTAAACAACATTCAAACAAAAAAACATTAGATGCATCAAACATGCAACTTTGGTCAAGGTAGAGCTTAAAATTACTTGGGAATGATCTCCAAAAGAGTAGGACAGGTTCTGCATCTGAAGCAAGTCTGGTAAAATGCATCCTAGAAGCATCTTCATGCAAAGTTGGTTCTGGTAAACTTGATGTCACTTGTGAATGGATCTGCCCAAAAATGTAGGTCACATCCAGCACGAGAAGCACGCCTGGAAGTGCGCATCCCTGGATGCATTATCCCTGCAACTTCAAAATCTGAAATATTAAAATATTACCATTTAATTCCAAACGTAGGTCACAGTGACCTACTTTTTTGGTTGAAATACTCCAAGGACAAAAGATGCATCACCTTACAAAGTTTGATGATTCTAAGCTATTTTGTATCTAAAATATTTAAAAATAGCCATGAAATTCCACTAGTAGGTCACGTTGACCTACTTGTGGTTGAAATACCCAAAGGACCATGCATCGACTGGCAGAATTTGATGATATTCCAAGCATCTTATTATTTTAAATATTTAGATATTGCCTTAAAATTCCAATATTAGGTCACTGTGACCTACTGTTTTTAGATGACATAGTCCGTGGACCAAAGATGCATCAACTGACAAGGTTTGATAATTCTAAGCCAGTCTTAAAATAATTAAATATTGCCATGAAATTCCAAAAGTAGGACATGGTGACCTACTTTCTGGTTGAAATACTCCAATGACCAAAGATACATCAACTGACAAGTTTTGAAGAATATATGCCTCTTAAAATCTGAAATATTTCAACATAGTTGTCGAATTCCAAAATTAGGATTCCAAGACCTACTTTTCGTTTAACATACTCCGAGTTCTCAAGATGACTCAACTGACAAAGTCTTATATGATGCTAAGCCAATTGGTACCTAATAAAGCCACGAAATTTCAAAAGTAGGTCAAATTGACCTACTTTCTGGTTGAAATACTCCAAGGATGCAAGATGCATCAATTGACAAAGTTTGATGATTCCAACATATGCTTCGCAGTGTCCAAAATATGCCTCTAAAACAATTTGAAAATGAATACCTGTAATAGTAAAAAAAATATAGGTCACTGTGACCTCCTTTTTGTTAAAAATGTTTCAGTGCCCCAAGATACATCAACTTACAATGTTTGATGATTCTTAACCTTTCATTATCCAAAATAATGACCTTAAATACATTGAAAATACTAAGACATAAAATTCAGAAAGTAGGTCAAGGTATAAACTGACAAGTTTTGATGATAACTGGCCTCAAAGTGTCCAAGATATGCATCAAAATCAGACTGAAAATGAATACCTGCAAAATTTAACAAGAGGCCCATGGGTCTTAACGGTCACCTGAGTACAAAACAACAATTTAGAGGATCCATAAACTTGCTTTAAAGTAACAAATATGGTATGATTAGCATCAACAAAATAATTGGTCTAGTATCTATCTGCCCCCCATTTATCACTACTACCATGCAGACTATACAACAAAATGTCTATTTTTAACACCATATTATGACTTCTCACATTGGCCTCTCTTGGTCTTTGAAGAACATTTAAAAAGATAAGTTATTTTTGTCTCAATTTTATTCATCTATTATTTCCAAGTCTACCTGATCATTAAAACTATAAAAGTACTTTTTGTATTTTACAATAAATATTCTTGCATAATTCTCATATTCTATTAACCTTTCAAATACATTGTTTACTGTGATTAATTATCAAAGGTGAATGGCAAAGGGGAATAACTTTGCTTAGCAGAATACAAGTTAATAGAGCACTGGGCAGGACCAGAACACTTGACTAAATGGTTCAGGTGTTCAAAATTCTGGCAAAAATACCTTTGCATATTAAAACTTCTACTGTTTGCCTCGAATATGCCCAGAAGCATAGAAGATTTTCAAAGAAATGCATTTTCACTATGTTATTAAATAAATAAAGTCCAACCCTTACACTAGAACATCTGACCCAGGGGCCATGAACTCACATTTCTGGAAGAAGCAAACTTGCTCATCATAACTATACATTTGTTTCTTTGCTTTAAAACCAATAGTAGAAAAAAATATTTTGAAAGAAATTATGATTTTCAATATATAATCAATAGAGCCCCCCCCCCTTCACTTAAGCCCTGACCCAGGGGCCATGAATTTCACAATTTGGAAGAGGCATTCTTCCTTATCATAACCATGCACTTCCTTTGGTTGAATAATACCAAGGAGCAGAGAAGAAGATTTTGAAAGAATTTATGCATTTTCCCTATATAATCAATAGAGCCCCGCCCTAACACCAGAACCTCTGACCCAGGGGCCATGAAATTCATAATTTTGGAAGAGGCAACCATGCTCTTCATAACTCATCGTCACTATGTACTTAGTTTATTTAATATCTAGGAGCATAGAAGAAGATTTTCAAAGAATTGATGCATTTTCACTATATAATCAATAGAGCCCCGCCCTAACACCAGAACCCCTGATCCTAGGGCCATGAATTTCACAATTTTGGAAAAAGCACTCTTACTCATCATAACTATGTACTTAGTTACTTTATTTGATACCCAGGAACAGAGAAGAAGATTTTGAAAGAATTAATGCGATTTTACTATATAATCAATAGAGCCCCGCCCTAACACCAGAACCCCTGACCCAGGAGCCATGAATTTCATAATTTTGGAAGAGGTACTCTTACTCATCATAACTATGTTCTTTGTTAGTTTATTTAATATCCAGGAGCAGAGAAGAAGAGTTTCAAAGAATTAATGCATTTTCACTATATAATCAATAGAGCCCCGCCCTAACACCAGAACCCCTGACCCTGGGGCCATGAATTTCATAATATTGGTAGAGGGCTCAATGCTTACTACAATGATGCCAACAGTTTGACTGCTTGATGTCCAGGAGTAAAGAAGAAGATTTTTAAAGATTGCATTATTTTTGGTGGTTTTAGCCCCACCCCTCAGGCCTCAGGGGGGCAGGGACCATGAAATTCACAATTTTTGTTCCCCTTCACTTACAGATGCTTTATGCCAAATTTGGTTGAAATTGGTTAAGCGGTTTAAGAGAAGAAGCTTAAAATGTTCAAATGTTAACACTCGACGCACGACCCACGCCGACGGACGAGAACGGATAGCAATAGGTCACCTGAGTGACTCAGGTGACCTAAAAAAAAGTGGGTCACCATGACCTAATTTTGAGTCAACATGACTTAAGGTCCTAAGATGCATCAACTGACAAGATTTGATGATCTTAGTCCTCATAGTGGGCAAAATTTCAAAGTTTTAACAAAACATAACTTAAGGTCAACTTCGAAGTGATCTTGGGACCATGCCCTTTGCCGAAGGGTGATGCTTTGAAAATTGTAATTTACAACATATCCTCATTCTTATTCATAAGTTTGGCGAAAATCTGCCCAGTGGTTCTTGAGAAGATTTTTTTAGCAACCACTACATTTGTTTTTATTTCCTAGCTAATTATCTCCCTTTATTTAAAGATTACATTCCTATTTTAGCATATATGAAAGCCCTTGGGCAAAGGATACTCGATCTGTGACAGATATGACAAAAAATGACAAAGGGGTTTGTGACGGTACATATTGTCGTTTTGTACATTTTGTCGTCGGCGACAATATGTACCTACCCTCACTGCACACATTGTCGTCCATCAGTGCATATTGTCGCTTGCCACAATATGTAACGAGACGAGCCTTATTTTCATCCTGCATAATGGACGACAAAATGTACAGTCAAGCACCAGCACATACTGTCGTCGGCCATAATATGTACAGTCAAGGTCGGCATATATTGTCGTCGATACATTGTTTTGACGAATATTTACTTGAGAAAGGAAAGAGAGATTGACTAATTTAACACAAACACACGCACGGAGGGAGACAGACAGCATTGCTCACAATACTGTAGGGAGAAAACTTTTTGGTCAGAAAATTGTGTCCAGGATTGATGAACTTCACCATAATATATGTCAAGATACCATAATTTTTTTTTAGATATCTGATAAATCAGCCTATTCTTTTTTTCTTATAATATATACTTGGAGATCAGCACATGTATTAGTTTTTCTGTTCAGTAGTAATGATTTTTTTGAAATTTATTTTTTGCGTTATTCTTATATACATTCATGTTACGATATAATTGGTGTTGGGGTTGACATTTTTAGATCACCTGAACTGGAAGCTCAATTGAAGCCTTTCTGATCACATTTTGTCTTACCGTTCCTCTGTCTATAAATTTTTCAAAATTTCAGCTTCTTCTTAGGAACTATTTGGTCAATTTCAAGCAAACTTGCCACAAAATATCCGTGGATAAAGGGGATTCAAGTTTATTCAAACGAAGGACCATGTCTTCTTTCAAGGGAAGTAGTTAAGGATAAGTGAAAATTAAGTGACATCTTTTAAAAATCTTCTCAAAACCACTGTGTCAGAAAAATTGAAACTTATGTGAATGCTTAATTAGGAAGTGTAGATTCAGCTTTATCAGATCATGTCCCTCGGGGGAAGGGTGTGGCTACAATAGGTGATCAAAAATTTTCATTGTTTCATTTCTTTTTTTTTCAAGAAGAGATGATACTTATGTGAAAGCTTCGTTACATAGCGTATATTCATTTTGAGGTGCTGGCACGAAAAAGATTCCTCACTGATCAATAACACCGAATGCCAAGTATAGCTCTATAAATTTGCAGCCCCAACCGGCAAGTGGTGACGTCTACATGTGCATGAAAAATTCTCGAGATGGACATTTAATATAACAACAAACAAAAACAAAAATCAATTTTGTTTTTGACCCTAGGGGTAGGATGGGGTCACAATGGGTGATCAAAGTTTTACATAGGAATATATACAGTAAAATTTTTAAAAATCTCAAAAACTAGACAAATGCAGCACCCGCCTAGGGTGTGGCCACAATGGTCGATCAAAGTTTTACACAGGAAAAAATGGGAAAATTCCTTAAAAGTTATCTTCTCAAAAACAGCAAAGCAATGATAAGTCATATCTATATGGATTGATTGATTATTATTATTTAACGCTGAATTGGCATTATTTCAGCCATATTTCGTCGATCAATTTAAGTGTATATGACCATTTTTGAAGTTTTTGGTTTTTCTGGCCAATGCCATGTATTGTCATGCGACATGTTCTGATGGACGGCAATATGCGCAGTGAGGATAGGTACACATTGTCGCCGGCGACAATATGAACAGGACGACAAAATGTACCGTCACAGTCACGCTGCATGGAATAGCATACGAGACATGTCAGTGTGCTTCACACACCAATTACATTAAAAAAAACTACCAAGAAACAACAAAAGAAATCTTTAAGAAACAATATCTGTGGGGCGACAATATGTACAGTAAGGGTGAGGCGCATAATGTCGCCAATATGTACAAGTGTAACTTTTCAGCCGGCGACAATATGTACCGATAGACGACAATATGTGCAGTGAGGTAAGGTACATATTGTTGTCGACAACAATACGTACAAAACGACAATATGTGCCGTCACAGGGTTCTTCAGATATGACCCATATTTTGAAAAAAAAAAAAGTTTATGCACACCTCACAAATGGCCATAACATTAGCTCTTTGAGGCCTTGGCTCAGAAGAGCTAAAAATCTGAACTTGGTCACTCAACTAGTAATTTGTCATTTCCTTCATCAGAAGCAAGCCTGGTGAAGTGGATTCCTAGATGCATCATCTATGCAAGTTTGGTCCAGGTACGACATATAATTTCTTTGGAATAGACCTGCTCCAAAACATTTAACCTATTGAGTCATCCAGAAAATTTAGGTCAGATCCAGCATCAGAAGCAAGTCTGGTAATGTACATAACTATATGCATCATTCATACAGGTTTGGTCCAGGTTGTAGGGCTTATAGCCCCCAAAACTCTAACCTGGTCACTCATCTGGAAAATGTAGGTCAGATACCACATCCCAATTAATACACAGGTTGATCATAGCAAGCAGATATCTCTACTGACTTTATAAATGTTAGCACATTTTCTGCAAGATTCACGTCAAATGTTTTCTGATCAGTACCTTGGAGAACCTTTGCATCATAAGCCAAAATTTATGGAGTTGTTTGGAATGCTTATTTTCCTCTATGGATAATAAATCCTTTTTTTTTTACATTAATGGACATTTGAAAAAAAAGTCACACAATTTATAGACTAAATAAATAGCAGCAGATGGAGGACTTGATTGTATGGGTCAATAACTAGGAAAAGAAGCTTTGGCAATGAATAACATTAAACATTCAGTTTTATAACACTGTATTTAGCTCAATGATTGTTATAATTGTAATTTAGACATCTACTTTTTTTGTGAAAAAAATAAAATTAATCTGAACTAATACAGAATGATTAATGGAATCAAAATATTCATTTTTTAAAATAATTATTTTTGATTTGGAAGCTCAATATAATATCATAACTATTTAACAAGCAGTCCTGTTATTTTGAAATCCACAATTTTCCTTGTAGGACTACAGCAGTGACAATGTACTTGATCTTCATGAAGGGAAATGGAAAAATATTTAATTAATAAAAAAAAAGAGTCAATAAGAGCTGTATACAGTCAAACAACACTGATAACAAAAGCCCCTTTCAAGAACAATTAAAATGAAAATCATTACTGCATTTCAAATGCACAAGAGCACCATTATAAAACTCTAAATAACACTGTCATACTACTTGAATAACACTGTCATATTACTTGAAATACAATTGAAAATACCTTGTATATAACATTATCAAAACAATCTATAAGTCCAATACAAATGTTTGTATTACATAGTATAACATATACCTGTAGGTTTTCCTATTCCATATTCTTTCAATATGGTTCTAGATTCTGATAATACGTGTACATCAAGCTTTTTTTAATACTTCAAAATTACACAACTGCTGATGTTCTTGAATCTGACTGACTTTCTAGGTTGATGTATTGATAAATGCTTCAACATCGTTGATGAATGATTTTCAGCTTAAGTAAATTCTGTATATTAATATTAAATACTTACATGACTGGTATTATATTAAATTTAAAACATTGATTAAAATCAAAACAGTGACTATAAATTTTCTGAAGTAACATGAACCTAAAACAGCATTGGCTGAGTTTGAAGAAAAAAATAATGCTAGATATATGCTAGTAATGCTATTTTATACTTGTTGAAGCTGCTTGCTTTAATCTGAGGGTTTGCTGGACGAGGCTTTTGCTATTGTTTTTTAAATGCTGATTTTTTCAATGCTGATTTATAAAACAGAAAAAAAGTTCCTGTATTGAATCAAGGTCTATCATTGCAACAAATGAAGAAAATAAATTCAGAAAAAGAACATATAAAAACAATAATAAATTCTTTGCTTGGAATAATGGGACCAAATCTTGTATAGTTTCATTATATGACTTGATAACTAGTGCACAAGGGAGGGAACACAAGTGTATAAAAATATCAAACAAATGAAGAAAAACAGACTTTGAAAAATCCATATGCAACAATATTCATATTATAATAACAGTTGTATATATCATAAAATATTTATAAGTGTCAGTGTAATGGTTTACAAAATATATTATTTAATTTCATGAATAATTTAATTAACAAGTTCAAATATACATGTAAATTATTTAGTAAATACAATTTATTTAAAATATCAATTAATACAATAATAGCACTGGTTTAATAATTGGTACCAATCCACTGCACCAGACTGGTTTAATAATTGGTGCAAACATTGTAAATATAAATCTATGGATTACTCCCAGTTTTATCTTACTGATTCTATAAGGCAAACATTGAATTCCATCCTATAAATTACATGTAGTTGAACAATGAATTCCATCAATTTGAAGGAACAATAGTTTTCCCCTAAATCAGTGGCTGTGCACAAACCACTTTCTGTAAAAATTCTACATGTAAGTAAGTGAGTTACAAAATCATGTTTAGGATTAAAAAAAAACAAACAAACCAAAAAAAACAAAAAAAACACTTTTTCGTTTCTACTGAGGGTAAACAATACAAACATCCCAACATACCAAGAAGCTTCCATTAAATATAATTAATGCACCGTAAAATTCTAACATACAAATACATATCTTAACAAGATATTAATATTGATATATAATGAGGTCTTGCTTTATTCTGTCCAACTATTCCCGTAATAATTCTGACCAGTGAATTCAATTGTTTGGACTAATAAACTTTATCTGGAAAAAAACTTTGCTCACAACAACTTAGTCACAACACTAACCACAAAGGAAGCACTAGTGATTCTACAAAGCATTTTCTTATAAAGAATCCTGGCAGCTAGGCACCAATTTAACATTCAATATGCTTTCCACTTAAAGATGTTTTATAAACATCAACTGTGGCTGCAGTCTCTGAGGCACAAATTCAGCATTCCACTACCCTCAGGCAGGTTGGTGGGTGGAGAGAAAGAGGTCAGGAGGTGTCCTCTGTCTGCTTTTGAAGGTGTTCCAGTTTCCTCAATAATGTGTCCCCAAAACTGTTTCTGTATTTAGGACTTACTTCATCAAGCAATGCATAGATGGTCTCATAGTGTCTTCCTTGGGCTGCTTCATCAATGACATCATATGCTCTCCCAACAATCTGTAAACAATAATATCAAAATTATTTCTATAAAAATTATTTATAAAACTTAGTTTTTATGCATTAAACCAATCAAGTTTAACAAATTAAGTGGTGCAAAATAGAGATGTTAATGTTCTTTGAATCAGTATGAGAATCAGTTACCACACAAACTTATTAAAAAACCAGAAGTCTCTGTCGAGACTGTAGCTCTACTGGTTTGTACTTATAACAATTAAGGAAGAGAAAAGAAGTACTTGGACTTGAAACTTTGCAAAAGCAATAAATAAATAGTAATCCTTGTTTTACTCCCTTTTTGTGGCAAGATGAATTGCAATCAGGCTAAAACTGTAGAAGGAGTATCCTTTTTAAAGAATTTAGAGAAATTTTGATTTTAGGTACCATGGAAACATCATTCCTCAAAATCAAAAAAAAAAAAAAACAACAATTAAGAAAATTATGTATCTCAGTGTAGTCTACTTGCATGCCATGTTACATTAAAATCAGACCAAACTGTAGGCAAATTAATATATTTGAAAGTATATCAAAGAAATTCAATTTTTTGTAACCATGGCAACACTTCATCAAAATAAAAAAAATATGATAAAACAGAATTACGTATCTCAGTGTAATCTACTTGTAGGAGGAGTAGCATTTTGAAAGTATTTCACAGAAATTTCTATTTTTAGTAACCATGGCAACCCCGTTCACCGAAATCAAAAACAGATACACAGAATTATGTATCTTAGTGCAGTCTACTAGTGTGCCAAGTAATACTGAAATCAGACCAAAACTGTGGGAGGAGTAGCATTTTGAAAAATTGTTTACAGACAGACAGACAGCTGGACAGACGGACGGACGACGGACAACTTACTATCGCATAAGCTCTTTTGGTCTCTGACCAGTAGAGCTAAAAACTATGAAAATACATCGGGATCAGTATTCCACAATTGATAGTGTAGATGCTCAATGCACTTAAGACAGACTGAAATCTTTTTCAGAAGATTGTTGGTAACATATATTAAAAAAATAGTTATTTCTAATAATTTCAATTTGATTATTCATTTGAGAGTTATACTGAAATCAGACCAAAACTGTAGGAGGAGGAGCATTTTGAATGTATTTCACAGAAATTTCTATTTTTAGTAACCATGGCAACACCCTTCACTGAAATCAAAAACTGATATACGGAATAATGTATCTTAGTGTAGCCTACTTGTGTGCCAAGTTATATTGAAATCAGACCAAAACTGTAGAAGAGTAGCATTTTGAAAGTATTTCACAGAAGTTTCTATTTTTAGTAACCATGGCAACACCGTTCATCGAAATCAAAAACCGATACACAGAATTATGTATCTTAGTGCAGTCTACTAGTGTGCCAAGTAATACTGAAATCAGACCAAAACTGTGGAAGGAGTAGCATTTTGAAAAATTGTTTACAGACAGACAGACAGCTGGACAGACGGACGGACGACGGACAACTTACTATCGCATAAGCTCTTTTGGTCTCTGACCAGTAGAGCTAAAAACTATGAAAATACATCGGGATCAGTATTCCACAATTGATAGTGTAGATGCTCAATGCACTTAAGACAGACTGAAATCTTTTTCAGAAGATTGTTGGTAACATATATTAAAAAAATAGTTATTTCTAATAATTTCAATTTGATTATTCATTTGAGAGTTAGGGAACCATATTTTGTTTGATTGACAGATTCTATACAGTCATATACTATCCACAGATGCCATTTTTTCTTTGCGGGCAAAATGCACGAACTGTCTGTATCATTCTAATTATAAATAAGAAGTTGACCACTCTTAGATTTATTTATATATTTAATGAAGATACAAAGCAGGCAACACATGCGTTCCTTGGAGCTCTCTAGTTTCTATTATGTTTTCCTATGTAAAACTTTTTGTAACCTGGTTTGTAACCTGTTGTAAGCCCAACCTAACCCCAGGTGTCATGATTTGAACAAACTTGGACCTTCACTATCTTATGACACTTCCATATTTATATGATTGACTAATCAATGCTAGTATGCTGTTCTTAGAAGGAGATTTTATAAGATATGACACACCCTACATCTGGGAATCACAGTTTGAACAAATTTTAATCTAAACTACCTGAAGATACTTCCATATCAAAATATATTTCTGACTAATCATGACATTGCTGTTCTTTGGAAGGTTTTAAAAGATATTTCTCTTATAAATCTCTGTGTTTAACTCTGATAGCCCATAGTGGGCACTGTGGCCCAACCTTATCTTTGGGGGTTATGATTTAACAAACATTAAATCAGCATTTCTTGTTTCTATGCAGTGATTCATTTTGAAAATGGTTATCATGGGTCCAAAGGACCCCTCTTAATGACAACAACGAGTCCCATGCCAAAATCATGCATCCAAATCCAAAGGTTCCGCATATCAGATACTACAGAGGAAATTCTGGTAAAATATAAATGGGTATTGCACGAAAGTGCAAATGTTTTATTGTAGCTGTGATTGGTCTATACTTTATCTATTGAATTGGGAGTAAGAATACAAGATTTTGTGGCACAAAAATAATATATTGTCAACTGTGCACCTTGTTTCTATTTTTAGATTGTAAATATGATCTCGTCATTAAAAGAGTTGTTCTATTAAATGAAGTAAAGAAAGTTTTTTAAAAAATGAAATTAGGCAGAAAGAAAAATGATCAAATTTTATACTTCTTAGAATCTTAACCAAAAAATTAACTTACACAGGTTACAGCTTAAATACAAATTATACGCTTCAGAAATGTTTCACAGTAGACATAAATCGAACTATGCTATCTACAATGTAACTTTTAATTATTTTCTAATAATTGCTTGTTAACTGCAATTTTAACAGTGAATTGTGAAATCTGACCTTGTTGGCAAACTTGAAAATCGCTCATGCATATCGCTAAAAAAATAGCATGTGGATATGCAATTGGTCAAGTTTTGAATCAGATTATATCGAACAATTTAAAATAATAAATGTCCTTCTATGAATTTATTGCATCCATTGGGATGCACATTTATTGAAATAATGCGTCCTGAGCAAAATTTGTACGTAATTTACACAGGACGCAGACCAAATTGAATCACTGTCTATGTTTTTAATATTTTCTGATAAATTACTCATATTCATATATCAAGCTGCAGAACTGTAGCATTATGGTTTTGTTTTTTAGTCTTTGACCATAAGGCTACAGATACCGTAATGCAAATATGATGCAATTTACGGTGCAAGATTTTCAGCACACTTTTGGGGAGAATTTCTCCACTTTCCAGTATTGGTCGATTAACTACCTATCACTTCCTAATTCTAGATATATATTCTAACCAACCTGTATATTTTATCCACCTCAAAATCCTTTATAGTTGTCTCTATACAGACCAATAAACTTGCTTGTTTTGAATTATTGTCCGATGGTAGGAAATTTAAAACAAACGAGTTTATTGGTCTGTAGAGACAACTTTAAAGGGTTAGGAGGTGGATAAAATATACAGGTTGGTTAAAAAATATGTCTAGAATTAGGGAGTGAAAGGTACTTGATTGACCAAATCTGGAAAGTGGAGAAATTCTCCCCAAAAGTGCACAGAAAATCTTGCCCCATAAATTACAACTTATTTGCATTATGGGAACTGTAGCATTATGGTCAAAGACTTAAATATAAAACCATAACGCTACAGTTCTGCAGCCATCATATATCATGTATATGATTCTGGCAATTCTTTAATTTGTTAATGTTATTTCCCTTTTTATGCATTTCATGAATTTGGAGTATTCCAAATTTGTTAAATTTATTTTTGGTAAAATTTGTGCTGATCTATGAGGACTACATAATATGTTGACGGTGCGACCGTTGGGGCGAGCGCAGTGTTCACTTCATTATTATGATCCGCCTCTTCAAACCGCACGAGACATTTGGAACGTCTAGACTGTGACGTCACATGACGTCGTATGTTAGCTGCATTTCCATAAACAAAGTTTAAAAAGTGCAAATATTTTAACAAAGAACGTTTAATCTACTATCTGCATGCAATATCCATTAACTTAAGGTGAGTTTATTTTGTGTGAATTTTTAGTTGTTGTCACCGCGTGAACGAAGTTAGCAGCGAGAACAAGAAGCGATGCATTGTGGGTCAGAATTACTGCGGAAAAAAATTCTATTGAATGAATAATGCAGTAGTCCGAATTTTCTCTTCGCCTAGGCGTTGTCGTTAGAGCTCGCAGTGACGAGCGGCGCTTCGCGCCGCTCGCTGCGCTCGCTATAATTGAATATAATATTGTTTGATGTAATTTACCATCAAACTCTTGTTTACTTATTGTGCTTTATTTCTTATGGGGCTGTTTGTTTGTTTTATTGATTATTTAACAATCAGTTCACCCAATGGAATGGGATCCCAAAATTATCAAACCCTTTATCATGTTTATAAAACTGTGTTGTTTATCTTTATAACACAGTCAATCGTTTTAACCACTGCTCCTTAACTCACCCTAAACCCCTGGACTGATAGCTCGATACAGTAAACATCGTTCTCCTGGGTCCTGATGTTAAGGTACACCTTTTCCACTCCTTGTGGCAACTTAATGGAAAGCTCAACATGGGACACAGCAAAAGAAACTTCTTTCAAAGCTTCTTGAGCTTCAACTCGTAGAGTATAATCATCACTTTTTCTACTTTCATTTTCTTCAGCCATCGTTGGCTGATCTTGGTCACCAAGTTGTTTTACAGTAAAGTAATCAAAATAGTAACACGTCATCGAAGACTTGACATAGATTTCATAAAGGAGCGTTCAATATTCATGAATTGAACGTAACTTGCTTCCTATGAAGAATGGTTTGTACGAAAGACTATATTTTACCTTCCATTCATGATATAAATGAATAATAATCTTACGTACCTGATGGTATATAAGATCAATTTGAAGATAGACTCGAGTTAAAGAATTAGGAAGTTATGTCGACACGACTAACATTTTGAATGACATAACATGCACCGGTGTTTGAGAACGTAGCAAACATGGCGGCCTCCTTGCTACCCGTTTCTCAAAAATTCATTAACGGAGTCCCTGTACCGCAAGGCCGCAAGACGCTGCGTCTTAAAGAGAAGTACATAATCTTACTGGTGTTTGTTACATTTGGACTCGTGTGTTTTGGTGCATTTTTCTTTTTACCAGATCTTCGAGATCGGGTTAGACTAAATGATGTTGTGAGGAACAGAATGAGAGGGGTAGATGAAATGATGATTCCCCGAGGAGGTATAAGAGGTGGCCAGATAATCAGGCACGGTGAAGATGAACATGAACATTTGAATGATGATAGGTTAAAATTCCAGAACCAAATGGATAGAGATAATAGGATTGCTAACATAGGAAAGAAATTAAACATTTCAAGGAAAGATAGTGGTAAAATTAAGGAAGACATTGATTCAGAGAAAGAGAAAATTTTGAAATTAAGACAAGAAGAAGCAAAAAAGAAGGAAGAAGAGGAGAGAGAGAAGGCCAAACAAATAAAGACAGAACATGAAGGAGGAGAGGGGGGACAAGGGGGAGAACCCGAAGATTCAGATGTGAAACAAAAACGAGAAAAAGTGCGCGAGGTAAGGAAAACATACAGAAAGGCAGGTTAAGTCATAGGAAACTTGCATGCACAGTATGAAAATATCATGTGCCTTTAGGGTATCGTGAAATTGTTATCCTGCAAAAACCTTTGTTGACTGAGGCAAAAACAAGGTCAGCAATGGTTTTCAAGGGATAACAGTTTTGTACATGCATAAGGGTGACTTTGTTTTGTCTCTGTAATCATATTTCAAGGTTTTTGCTGCTACTTCAGGTTGCATATCTACTTTGTGATACAATTTAGTGGACAAAGTAATCATGGTAATACTGTATACATTGTTACAGATGATGAGGCATGCCTGGGTTAATTATGAGAAATATGCCTGGGGAGCAAATGAACTTCGTCCAATCAGCAAGCGGGGACACAGTGCCAGTATTTTTGGAAGTTTGAGTCTCGGAGCCACAATCATCGATGCGGCCGATACTTTGTATATCATGGAGTTGATGGATGAGTACAAAAGAGCTCGTGACTGGATCGCCACAAGTTTTACCTTTGATGGAGTGAGTAAAAGCCCTTCTTTTACACAATTACACATTTTCATATTGGCTTACATTATTCCCTATCCACATCTTTTTATTCTTTTGCATTGTGTGTCAAATTTCAGTTTCCTCATTTGAAATATATTACACCTGTTGTAACCTTACTTCACACTGCTAAGCATGTAATATTTGCATAATCATCCTCTTCCAGTGCTTAAGTAATTAAAGCAAACAGTTACCCCAGGCCCATCAAGTATATATCTATATGTTATTTATGCATTTTGAAAGCAAAAAAGGACTACCCTCCTCAATGTTCTAGATTTTCTTTTTGTGAATTCCTTGTCTGTATTCATATAAAGTATTAAGTAACATGTATTGTATATTGAACTATACAAGACAATTTTCCCTTTGGTGAAGGACACTGCTTTAGAGAACTTATTGGTGTCAGGAAGTCGGTACTTCATATTGAGAGACTGGTGCCATTTATCTCTTATGAATCTGCTCATTATATCTGACATTTTTATAGACAGATCAATTCAGATTTATGAAGGATCAAAATTCCTGCTTTTCAGAGCATTTTTTAAAAATATGTTTAAAGTTCAATTTTTCTCTCACAATTCAAGAATTCTAGTACACTAGTAACAGATACACCTTTGTAACATATATTTTTTTTTTATGATAATTTAGCTTAGATTTTGCTTTTATTATGATCAAACATTAAATCATGAAAATAATTTGACAAATTTAAGCAATTTTTTTTTTTTTGGAGATTCTGAAAATATGTCATTTGTAGAAAGATCAGGGACAAATTTAGCCATTAACATTGTATAGATTGTATAACATGTACAAAGGCACATTTTACCTAACACTTCAAAGACAAAAAAAAAATACAAAGTGTTATGCATTAAATTGAATGCTTCTGTGTTTTGTTTTAACCATACTCTAGATATGCTTGGCTCCTTGAAGTTTAATTAGCATGTGTTTTTCACATTACAGCCCAAAAGTGTTTTCTCGATCATTAAAGAGAAAGTAGGATTTGGTGTAAGTGTTATATAATCACAGCTCCTTAGCTCTAACACAGCAGAGAATTTAGTTGGAGATATTCATAAAGGAAAACTCAAAAGCTGCAGGGTTTACATGATCAATAGAATTCAATTTGTGAAATTGTATTATAAACTCTCCAAAAGCACACATTTTCAGTAAATACATGTACTAAATAATGGATATTTAGTGAAATATTTTTTTCTCAAAATTCTCAAACTATTTTCATTTGTAGTTTTGTAATGCTCTGCATGTTTAATTTGTTTGTTGAATATTTATGCTTTACAATAAAGCGATTTTGTCTATGATAATGTCCTTTTCATATATTACATTTCATATTGTCATGTACCATGGTGTTTTCACTTAGTGCATGTACATGTAATTATCTTGGAACATAAAAATAAGTTTTGTTGGATTATTAATCGAGATGCATAGTACTTTGCAACTAACTACATTAAGACACAGTACATGTATCATTGTGTGGCTGGTATCTGTTGCTTCAGAGAGATTTGTTTTACCAAGTACATCTTTAAAGACTTTTTACTTTGGGGGGGGGGGGGGATCGATGGTCAGGGGCAAAAGGAAACAATTTCTGGGAATGTATTCATCATTGTTTGTTGTTTGTGTCCCTTTGAGAATTTTTCACTCATATTGTTACACCTCATCATGGAAAGTGAATCTTTAAATAATCAAACTACATAACTAGCTAAAGATTTATTACCTGAACTCGCTTTTGACTTAGAACTTGTAGTGTGGTAAAAATAGTAATGCAGCATTGGTGAAGGCTTGCCATGTACAAACTACACATCATGCACTGTGCTCATAAATAAATGTAAGGTGTACATTAGCATGTCATGGAATAGTTTACTGAAAATGTATCCAAGATTACCTGAATTGTAATGAAAATTTCAGTGAACTACATGTATTTTGAATAAAAGTAGATTTTTTTTTCTAACTGACAATAATTCTTTCTGAAGAGTTTAGAACTGTGTCATCATCAGAAAAACCCCAACAAACAAACACATCTGATTTCTCATCCTATTTTACCATTTTTCAGGCTGGTTAGCAATATGACTGGTCAGTCTGTGTGTTGTGTTTGGATATTAGCATTGCAGGCTAGAAAAAACATTCAGTGCTTATAGAGTACTGAAAATTTCTACGCAGACAGTTGCTCATATTCACAGCCTTTTATCTCTGAATAGAAATGAATATGCCTGACAATATAAGAGCAGCGTTACAGTTAAATTCTAAAATTTTTTTTTTACTTTCAGGCAACTGAGCTGTCGGCATTTGAGACAAACATCCGCTTTGTTGGAGGTCTCCTATCTCTGTATGCCCTCACTGGAGACGCAGTAAGTATTATGAAAAAGTAGGCTGAAATGAAAAAAAAAAGTTCTTGGTCTGAGGAAAAAGTTAAAGGTTTCTGATTTTATCAGTAGTTTTTAAAGTATGTTATGAATGGTCAAGTCTTAATGTTTTAGAAAATTTCATGAAACAAATAAGTTCTTTAATCACATGTATCTGCAAATTCTACATTTATTTATTTCAACTATTTTGTGTAGATGTACAAGAAGAAAGCCATAGTGGTGGCTGACAAACTGCTGCCAGCGTTTGATACACCAACAGGAATACCACAGTCCATGGTGAACACCAAAACGTAAGCTTAACCCTGTAGACTTTTAAATCACTTTGAATGGTTTTACCAAGGCTACAGAATGTACTGAAAATGAACATTTTTTTGAAATTCTTTCAAAATGCTACTCCTCCCAATTTTGCTCGGATTTCAAAAGAGCTTATAACACAAGTTGAAAATAATATTTAAAGCTCATATTTTTTATCAGTTTGAGATTGAGGTAGTTGAGGCTACTAAGAAAATTATCTGTGAAGTACAATCAAAATGCAGTCCTTACAGTTTTGGTTTGACTTTAATATCACTTGGTACATGTTTAGAAAACATCTGGATACATGATTCTTTAATGACTGTAAAATGTTAAACTGAGAGAGAGATAAGTTTACATGTAGGTGCCACTTTTCCCCTTTACCATTATAAGTACATATCAGTAGAGCTACAGTCTCATTGGAGATTTCTGGTTTTAACAGAGGAAGTGCTCGTAACTGGGGCTGGGCATCAGGCGGATGTTCCATCCTTGCTGAATTTGGGTCTTTCCATTTAGAATTTGTCTATCTCTCAGAAATTAGTGGAAAAAGTATTTATAAAGACAAGGTATGAGTTCAATCAATATCATTTGACATGCATGTCATAAATTGTGTACTTCAGCTGATTCATTTTTAACTTAACCTCATTCAAGTTCAGTCCTAAGAAGTAGACACCTTTTGTACTTGTAGGTGATGAAAATCAGGGAGACCCTGAACAGTATAGATAAACCTAATGGTCTGTACCCTAATTACCTAAATCCTCGCACAGGGAGATGGGGACAAAGTAAGTAATTTCTTGTCTTCAGTTTTAATTATTTTATTGCTTTGAGCAGCAAAAAAGAGTGAAAATTTACACTGTGTGAACTTTGACAGGCTGGCAGGTAGGTGAATGTGGAAGAATAAATTTAAAATTCTCTTTTTAATTAAAAAAAATATCAACAAGGCAATTACAATTTTACTTTAAATTTAAATTAATTTAAAAAGGAGAACAATAAAATTAACCTGCTATTTAATGCCAAGATTTATTTTTCTGTAGGTCACACTGCCATTGGGGCACTAGGAGATAGCTTTTATGAATATCTGTTGAAATCTTGGCTTCAGTCTGGAAAGAAAGATGATTTAGCCAAGAAAATGTATGACGAAGCAGTACAGGTAATGAAGATTTTCATATTGAGCATTTGTATTAAGTTGTTTTGGTACAGTAACATGAAATGCACAGCTTTTTTCATCAATTTACATGTATGTTAAAATTTATTAATTTTATTGAGGTGCTGCTAAGTTTCAGCATACTGTAAACCAACTTTTATTTGTGTGCATTACAAATATTTCTCACTGCAATTTATTTTTTTTAAATTGTGTATTTATTTTGAATGTATCCTAATTTGCAGAAAAAAAAGTCATGGATGGTTTCATATTGACAAATTACTAATAAAATTGTCATGAATGATAGACATACATACATATTTTGGTGACTGATTTATTTATCATCAACAGATCAAAAGTTTTAATTGTCAGTTATGAATTTTGAAGTTGGAAGAGAGGTCTTGTTGAAGTTCTGGACTTTCTTGATAGATTGAATATATCTGTTTGTCAAAACAATAGAACATTAATTGCCTTTTGCTTTATTAGGTTAAGGATCATCAGTTCTAACAAACATCAATGATTTATGATAATAGTAAATACATGCATAGAAACAAATGTCAATCTTAATAAAACCATTGTAGGCCATTGTGGAGAAGCTTGTAAAGAAATCCCCTGGAGGTCTAACTTATGTAGCAGAGTACAAATCAGGGAGACTGGAAAATAAAATGGACCACTTAGGATGTTTTGCAGGTGTGTTGTTTAAAATATTTTATGATATACTGATATGACGCTGTAGATTCCTTATTTTACACATGTTCTTAACATCACAAAACGACTCATAGATATCAAAAAGCAAGAGCATGAATTCGCTAGTGGACTGCTGATCAAAAGTTTTGACATGTATTTCAGCAGTATAAAAGTGGAAACAATTAATTTTATTTTGTGAGTAGTGTTTTTTATGAAATTTATGCAATAATATATTTAGAAGTCTACAGTACAGTATCAGATTTTAATGTCTTTTAAAAAAAATACATTCTATATAAGAAGGCATTTATTTTTTTCAACCCCCAAAATGATAAGCTTATTAAAAAGACTTTGAAATAATAAGAAATTTTGAAAAAGATTTCTCTAATGTTCACTTCAAAAAGGTTACAATATGCATGTACATGAATAACAACATAATTATGTACCCCTATACACTCATTGTAAAGCTATTTACAGTAAGAAAATGGTCAGAAAGATCTTGTGTATATGGAAATCTAGATTACAAGGAGATTTTTGTGGATCCCATAGAAGACTTAACACTTTGTTCCTTACAAGGATTTAAAGAATCTCAGTTATAAGGAAACAAAGTACTAATTCCCAATGACTTCCTTAAATAACTGAGGTATACTGAATTTGTTACTTGTAGGTGGAATGTTTGCCTTAGGAGCAGAGTATTCAGACAACAAACAGAAATATTTAGACCTCGGGGCAGGGATATCTAACACCTGTCATGAATCTTATGCAAGATCAGGTAAGCTCGTATACCTATTAAATCCTTATTTACCCGGAGACTAAATATAACAGGGTTCGAAATTCACTATATACAACTCGCAAAACGCGAGTTAGAATTCCCCAATTGCGAGTTAAAAATTAGGTAACTCGCAAAAACTTGCAAGTTGATTTTTTTTGCATTGAAACTGTAGCAAAATTATATAATATGACAGAACACAATGCCTTTGATTTAAATCAGTAATTTAAATAAAAGTCACACTGTAGTTGTATTTTGTGTATTGTACAGTAGTTACTTTTTCCTTAAGTTACATGTATTTAATTTATATAAATTTAACTTTATATGAAAATTGCGAGTAGTCTTGGTACTCGCAATTATTTGCGAGTTATAATTTTAGGGAGTTTCTAACCCTGTATAAGCATTTACTGGCAAATTTATGTTAGTGTAATATTGAAGATCATGTAAATTATTTTACGCCATTGACTAATGATTGCAATCTTGAATAAAAAATGTCTGAGTTTTCATAATACACTATATATTTATATATTTAAATGTGAAAATACATTTTGGCTGCTATGACATAATTTAGACAGCAAAATTTGTACACATTATCATATACCGGTAGTGTATTGTTTGAATACTTAAGTTTAATACCCGGTAGATCTATGCAAATCTTTTGGGGTTTTTTCCTTCAGAAACCAAATTAGGACCAGAGGCATTCAGATTTGATGGGAACACGGAGGCAAAGTCAATACGACAGAATGAGAAATATTACATACTGCGACCCGAGGTAGTGGAGACGCATTTCTATATGTGGAGGTTAACTAAAGAAGAAAAGTATAGAGATTGGAACTGGGAGGCAGTACAGGTAGGACATTCACTGAGGAGAGAAAAATTAATATGGGGAATCAAAAAGTTCTTAAATTCATTCATCAAATTTTCACAGAATTATTTCATGCAGTTCAGATTGGCAAGTGCAACAGTACTCTTTGAATTCTGGTGGAGAATGAGAATGTTATCTTATGGACATGTATATTAAAGAATAATGAATGGATGGAAAGTTTTGTCCCTTTTTAGCTCACCTGAGCTGAAAGCTCAAGTGAGCTTTTCTGATCACCCGTTGTCCGTCCGTCCGTCCGTCCGTCTGTAAACTTTTCACATTTTCAACTTCTTCTCAAGAACCACTGGGCCAATTTTAACCAAACTTGGTACAAAGCATCCTTGGGTGAAGGGGAGTTTAAATTGTTAAAATAAAGGGCCAAGCCCCCTTCCAAGGGGAGATAATCAAGAAAAGACAAAGATAGGGTGGGGTCATTAAAAAATCTTCTTCTCAAGAACCACTGGGCCAGAAAAGCTGAAACTTATGTGAAAGCATCCTGGGGTAGTGTAGATTCTAAATTGTTCAAATCATGACCCCCGGGGGTAGGGCGGGGCCACAATAGGGAATCCAAGTTTTACATTGAAAAATGTAGAAAAAATCTTTAAAAATCTTCTTCTCAAGAACCACTGGGCCAGAAAAGCTGAAACTTATGTGGAAGCATCCTGGGGTAGTGTAGATTCTAAATTGTTCAAATCATGACCCCCGGGGGTAGGGCGGGGCCACAATAGGGAATCCAAGTTTTACATTGAAAAATGTAGAAAAAAATCTTTAAAAATCTTCTTCTCAAGAACCACTGGGCCAGAAAATCTGAAACTTATGTGGAAGCATCCTGGGGTAGTGTAGATTCTAAATTGTTCAAATCATGACCCCCGGGGGTAGGGCGGGGCCACAACAGGGAATCCAAGTTTTACATTGAAATATGTAGAAAAAATCTTTAAAAATTTTCTTCTCAAGAACCACCTGGCCAGAAAAGCTGAAACTTATGTGGAAGCATCCTGGGGTAGTGTAGATTCTAAATTGTAAAAACCATGACCCCCAGGGGTAGGGCGGGGCCACAATAGGGAATCCAAGTTTTACATTGAAATATGTAGAAAATATCTTTAAAAATCTTCTTCTCAAGAACCACTGGGCCAGAAAAGCTGAAACTTACGTGGAAGCATCCTTGGGTAGTGTAGATTCTAAATTGTTCAAATCATGACCCCTGGGGAAGGGCGGGGCCACAATAGGGAATCCAAGTTTTACATTGAAATATGTAGAAAATATCTTTAAAAATCTTGTTCTCAAGAACCACTGGGCCAGAAAAGCTGAAACTTATGTGGAAGCATCCTGGGGTAGTGTAGATTCTAAATTGTTCAAATCATGACCCCTGGGGTAGGGCGGGGCCACAATAGGTATTACAAGGGGGAAATCGGGTGAAAAACAGCAAGGCCAAAGTTACTCAGGTGAGCGTTGTGGCCCATGGGCCTCTTGTTGCTCTTGTCATCATTGGAGAATTCAGAGGAAATTGACTTTAAAAGACAGTTATCCCTCTTTTAACTCAGTTTTCTCTTACCAATCTAACTTGGGGCAAAATTCGATGCAAATTATATAACAAGGGGTGAAAATAACTGTGTATACAGTAGTAAACAGCTAGGAAACAATGTTCCCTTGGTGAAAAAGAGCACACTATTATGTAATTATGTCAACTAATTTTAATTCTGATTCTAATTTTTATTTTGGCTAAACATTTCAACAAAGAATTTGTAGATATAGATTTTGTATAAACATGTCCTATGTTCTTTTAAGAAAAGAGACAACCTCACCTGTTATTCATTTATTTCAGGCTCTGGAGAAACATTGTAGAACTGACGGAGGTTACACAGGTATACGAGATGTCTACCAGACAAACCCGTCACAGGACGATGTACAGCAGAGCTTTTTCCTGGCAGAAACATTGAAATACCTCTATCTGACATTCTCAGATGACTCACTAATCCCCCTAGACAAATGGGTATTCAATACTGAGGCCCACCCCTTACCGATTCAGGGGGCCAATAAAGTTATTGAGAAGAAGGAGAGATGAATTTGATGAGATAGGTCCCATATAAAAGAAGACTGTGATTGGACATACTTGGTGTGAATATGTATAGCTTTGTTTTGATGTGTAAGTGAGTTATACGTGGTGATTCATGGATCTGTCCTTAAATTATTTTGTTTAGGCATTTTTTAGTCACAATGTATACAAGTTGAAATACTTAGGTCTAAATCAAAATTTCATTATTTTAGAAACTTCCCTGGCAGTTAGATTATTTTTTTGTTCAGAAACAAAGATTCATTTTTACCTGTATCATTGAATTCCACTCTGAACTTACATGAAAAATGTAAAAAATACAGTATTGATTTTATTTCTTCAACATGGAAAAATTTGAGCAAAATACTTAAAAAAAATACACAACAGTGACTCTCAATGATTCATGCAAAAAAAATATGATGACCCTAGTGATGTACAGCAAATTGATTTTCTTTCCCACCAAAAACTAAGTAATTAACTGACCAGTTAGTGGTCTTTTTATCCATTCTCAGATTCATAAGATCACTCTAATTAAGTCTTGAAATTCAACAAAGTATGTTCTGTGGATTTAACAATGTTTATTTTGCATAAAAATGTGCTGTAAGCTGTTGGACTGATCCCCACATAATATATACATGAATGAGTCATTTTGTCCATTGAGCTTTATAATATATACCTCCACTTCAACTATATATTAACATTGAAGCTCCATTTTAATTTTTATTTATATCTGATTCAGTATGTACCATGGTACTTGATATATTTTGTCATGCAGTCTACTGTGGTCATAGATATGTAGACAGATTTGTATATTTTATCAGTAAATACATGTTTGTTATTGTGATGTAAATACCTACGTTTGTGTTTGTGATATGTGCTTTGCTAAGCTGTCTCTTAATTGGTAGATGGTAGTGAATTTTTTTAATTTTCTGAGATGACATCATAATAGATTAAAATATTGTTGATGAATTATTTGTCTTTTTATTGGCTTAATAGTGAAAAATAATTGTATCTTCTCCATAAGAGCCTGTAATAAGAAGAAGGTCTGAGAGAAGGTAAATTCTCAAACCTTTTTTTTTTCATTCAATCAGACTGTGAATACTATAAAGATTGAGATATTTATACATCAAGAAGATTTATTCCTTTTTTTAAAGCATGATAACTATATGTATCATTACATTTATTAGCACATTGATGAAGTCATAATTATGTCATAAACAGTTGGTGTATGTTTAATATATATATTTTCATAATGCTCATTTCCCACAGTGACTGTGGTTTGTAAAAATTAAGGTAACTGTTTTCATTGTTCATTATATTTGACATTTGAGAAAGACGATTTTATTTTTCTGTTTCACAAATCTCTGTAGAGTGATGTAGTTTTTAGGTTTATGTTGAAATTGGCATTCCATTGAAAAATATGTCATATAGTACTATTGACACAGCATTATTATATTGAATATTATTTGCAAAGCTATTTATTAATGTTCTTGCATGCAAGTATTGATACTATTTTTTTCAAAGAGAAGATTTTGCTAAATGGTATACAGAGTAAATTGTATAACAAAAGTTGTTTTGATGGAAAAATCCTGGTGCACTTGCTTTGAGTAAATGCTATTCATTGACAGATTTATAATCTAAAAAGAAATAAACAGATATTTGACATTTGAATGTCAAATAAATAGGTTTATCATGGATCTCGATGTTTGTTAAAAACATTGTTGAAACCATTTACACTCCTTAAGAAGATGTCTGCATGTATATTAATATATTAATGTACAGTGCAACTTCAAATGTTGGAATATCTGTGTATCAATTTTTAAACAAACATATGATATACATTAAAATAGATTTTTAAACAATTTTGGTATATTTTATATGTTTGGTATATCAATTAATAGAATCAATATGAAGAAGCTTTCTTGAATTTCCATCATGATAAGTATATCAATTAAAATTCAGTACAGGTAGTATTGCTCTCTGTAATATGGATAATCCTAGTTGTAGAAGTGATGTTAATTAGATTATTACAAATTAGAAATCACATTACTGTACATACTATTAATGACTCTGTGTACTCTATCCTGTGTTATATAGTGATTCTTTTATGTGTTCATCTTATAGTCACATATTTATAAAACAGACCAGTCATTAAATTAATTTTCAAGTATATTAAAGTGTATTTTAATATATCTTCATATCTAAATGTTTACAGTTGTAGGAAAAAAAAGTTTTATTCTTCAGATAAGGTCATTTAACATGACATTAAACAAGTGTATACACCTGAGGGAACTTTCCTGTCTATTTCCTGTGATCCTAATCTTTAGAGATTAGAATTCCATTTGGACATAGAGACGGGTTCTTCAGATAAAATCGGATAAATAGAGGTCCTGTGTCTGAGTACATATTGGCATGAAAAATATCCCTCACTGCCCAATGGCCATAAATGTCAAGTACATGTCTAAATTTGCAGCCACAGCAACTGGTGGGATCTCAACATGAGTGCAATATTCTTGAAGAGACGTAAAGCAAACAACCAACCAATCAACTTAGGATTAGAATTAATATATAGTCTAATGTATTCATCTTATAGTCATGTATTTAATATACATGTCTTAGTAGTTGTAATGGATATGTGATTCATATCCTCTGTTATATATAGTTACATGGCGAAAATACATTTTCCAGAATAAATAACGTTTGATCTTGTCTGTGCAAACGTTTTCTCATTTCAGGATATTTCAGCCTGGCGTACATTAATAATAAGCAGGAAAAGGTCATCTTTATCTTTGATTTGGATAAGGTTTAAATTACTTTCGAACTGACTTATACGACTTAGGCTATATGTTGTAATGCCAATGAGAGAAGAGATTATTTGTCCCCTGATACCCAATCATCATGAAGAAAGGTTTTTGTTTTACTTAATGTATACCATAAGTATCTTTTATTCAAGAATCGGTAAAAAATCGATTTCCCTGCTGATTCTTCCAGTTCGTTTCCGGAACTTGCAATTTTACCGATTTTAAGCATATCCTAAGCCATAGACATAAAGCAGTATGTCTATGCTTAAGGTTAAGAATTTTCTCCCTTTGATGTATTTCATGGATTCTGATTCATACAAGATTTGAATTGGAGAGTTCGAAGTTGTTGACGATTAACAAATTGTTTTGAACATATTTTATTGAATAAATAAAAATGATTAGGATAAAGTTCTTACAAGTTACTGGTTCCTCTCCTTAAACACATTCAATAACACATTTATTACATATTATTACATTGTATTTCAGTATTCGGAGAAAGCCTTTGCTTCTCGGATGTTTAAAAACATATTGGATCCGATGCCTTATAAAAACACAATAGCCTTCTTCATAGATCCATGCACAGCGGTTCTTGACAGAAACTTCATCATGGATAAGGGTTCCTTGTTGTGAGACTAACCTGATGCTTGATTGGTAGACAGCTGTGCTTTATGTTATAGATGTGAACTATGTTGGACACATTAATGACACGGATGAATTTAAGACAAGAAGACCAACAGATTAGATGACTAACAGATGTTCCAAGGGTTGGCTTTCTTGGAATTGTGCAATACAACGGTTAGTTTATCATTTTTCTTATACCTGGAAACACTCAAGAACATAATTATATGCGAGAGGTAATGGCGTAGCGACTAGCTATTACAATGCTTCTAGCGATACAAAGGATGTTCAAAATCATTACATTGCATTTTGAGCTATGTTTTTAATTAATTTAAATCTGTAAAGAAGGTATATAAGTATAGACATATGGGTTGAGACAGCAAATGTCAAAATATTAAAAAATTAGACACTGACACTATGTATCAAGTTTTGTTCTCCTTTAATGTGATTAATCATTTGTCTCATTCAGATTATCATGATAATTGCATTGTGATTTCTTAAAGTTAAAACATGTAAAAAGAGTATCACCAACGATACAATATCTACCAATGCATCAGGCCCTCGTGAACACGCATCATTTTCTGTATTTCATCCTTTCTGGGATCATAAAATGACCATAAGTAATTATAATCAAGTGAAGAAAAGAATTGTACAGGAAAGACAGAAAGAAAGAATTAAAGCATTCTTGAATCAGACCATTTGAAAACATCTTTAGATTCACGGAAAATCTGAAAGGTTTTGGGATTTATAATATAATTTATTCAAAAACTTCTGCATGACAAGAAGTCTCTTGCTGTGGCATTCAATTCGACGTTTAGATATATAGACGACGTTTTATCAATTAACATTATTCATTTTCATTCCTGCGTTGATTCGCTAAATCCCACTGAACTCGAAGTAAAAGACACCACAGAGTCTGACACATGTATCATATTTGGATGTTTCACTAGAAAAAGACATTGATGGCAAGCTAACAACTTAACTTAATAAAAAAAAAAACGTGATGACTTCAACTTTTTCTATCTTCCCCATTTGCAGGGGATACAGGTATATTGCTAAATAAACTATGAAGCAATATACCTGTATCCCCTACAAATGGGGTTTATTTCTTCTAGTTGATTCGATATGCTGGAGCATGTTCTACGTTCGAACAATTTCTTGAACGAGACAGGCTACTGAAAAATAAGTTGATGACACAAGGATATCAACAATTTCGTTCAGAGTCAACATTTCACCAATTCTATGGTCGATACAATGTCCTTATTTTACAAGTACAATCTATTAAGTCGAATGTTGACTGACGTATTTCATACGAATTAGGCCATTATTCTCACATTGAATTGTCCAAGGATTTTTTTCCGTTTATCTGATCATGACAAAGAGAACAAGGCGATGTGATCGGTCGACAGGGATGCTCACTCCTGCATGGTACCTGCTCCCACCTCTGTTTTCAGAGGTCCGTGTTTGGTCTGCTCACAATTAAACTCCAGTTAAATAATTAATATTGTTTAACTGGCTATTGAGCATGATTACTGTTAATTGTTAAACTGGACATGGAGCAGAATTACTGTTTGTTATCTTAACATTTCATTTTATTATATGTAAAATAAAATAAAAAATCAAAATGCACCAACAGACATTGAATAGACAATTATCATTATGTTTGATTGTCAAGTCACAACAAACGCTTGATAAGCACGCACTTCCTCTGACTAAATGAATAATAAAACATTTCAATATTCTAAGATTTAGATATTTAGACATTTGCCAAACTTATTCTGTTTCTCAAATTATTAAGTCAACTTTTCTAAGTCAAAGCACAAGTAATCTAATATCATCCTTGGTATAATTTTCTGCAGACAGAGATATAAAATGTCAGAATTCTGTCATGGCTAGATAACTACTATTCGCACAATTGACATTTTCCTCATAACTTTTTTCCATTCATTAGAAAATTTCCATACTCGTTTTCCTTCATTGCATGTACTTAATTTTCTTTACTCTTCCAGCAAGCTCAGCCACATAGAGATAATCTTTAGTGTCTACAAATATTCCCATTGGATACTTAAAATCACAACTATCAAGGTAACGGAGGAAGATTCCTTTCTGATCAAGGATGTGGATGCAGTTGTGTATAAAATCTACTATAAGAATATGGCACTGGCTATCTGTAGCAATGTCAAGAGGGTTAAATGATTCCTCGGTGACATTGGGATTTCCAGTGTATATAAATCGGAGCTTTCCCTTTGTACTAAACACAAATACTGCTTTAGCTCTATAGTCAGACACAATCATGTCCAAATTCTTGCTCTCCGTAATGTGTTTCAGGCCACCAGATGAAAAGTATGGTTTACCTTGGTCATCAAATTGAAGGGTTTGCTTTTCTGTGGATCCAGAGTAACGAACGGTTTTTGATTGAGCATCATCACTGAACATGGTAACCAGGAGTTCACCAGAGAAAGTAATACAAATGCCGTTAGGTTCCCAGTCCTCCAATTTTATTACCTCCTCTGACAGCTCGTTCCTCACCACGTTTACACTTCTTGTGTTAGGGTCAGTATAAACCAATTCTCCAGTTTGCATCACTGCAATATCATGAGGCCACTCCCCTGATTTGGTAAGGACTGATTTCAGCATTTTACCCTGGAGATTGTACAAATTCATGACGGTATCATTCCCACGTGTCCAGATCTCTTCGTCACCTAGACGGGTAACACTTAGTAATTTTTCATATCCAGTTTCAATGGATGCTACAATCTCTGGTTCGTCAAGCAGTAGTTTGACTGTAGGAGATGATATGGATGTTATAAGCTCTGATACATCAGGCGATGATTTAACTGTAGAAGAATATTCAGCCTCTGGCTCCGTCATTGTATACCCATATTCTTCTTGGTCAGTGGGTAATACTGCTAAAGAACCAAACAGTTGAGACAATTGGTTTCTATTGATCTTCTGAGGATGGAAACTTAGTTTTAGGGGGAAATTTGGAAATTCAGCAGTTCTGAAATTGTATGCACAGGTTAGGGAGACGTTAGCAGAATCCCGTATTCCCTTTATTCTAAGAATGCTTTGCTTCGTTTTAGAAATGATATCTGTAATCATGTCATCCTGCTTATATAAGGCAGTTAAGTTTCTGTTTTTTTTATCATTAATTTCTGATTTGTATTTGTTGACAAGAATCTCAATTTCTTTGTGCCATTTCTCTCCATGCGCCATTACTTTGGCTGTAAGTTTTTCGTAAAATGTCTCTACCCGGATTCTCTCAATTTTCACATCTGCTTCAAGTTCTTCATATTATTGACAAATATTGTTTATCAATTCATTATAATCTTTTTCTAGTCTCTGTACATTTGAATAGAATTTTTGCAGAAGATCTGACATAGAATGTCCCGTGTGTTCTCCTGTTGAGATGCAAGTTGAACAAACGGGTGCGTAACATTTATCGCAATAAAACTCACAATGTTTGTTTATATGGTCTGTACACTTCGGATATTCTATTGTGATTTCCTGATGTTGAAAAGCTTTGATTTTATGATCTTTTGTTAAGTCAAAGAGATGCTCCCCGACGCATGCCTTACATAATTTGACATGACAAAAGTCACAATGCATTTGAGGGACTGGGGCATCACAGATATCACATCGTAAAATATTTTGAGCTTTGAGCCGAGGATCCATTTGAAAGTTATATTTCTGTGCATCCAACCTGTAAACAAGTCTTATATTAGCAAACAGTAACAAATAACATATGGACTATTCTATCTACAGGAAAGAAATAAATTTTGTTAGATGCCAAAACTAGCAATGGGTTTTGAAGGCAAAATTCATTATGTGTCTTCATTATGATACTCATCAAGTACTTTGTTATACACAGTCTCTTATCAAACTTATTTGTCAGATGATTATATTTCAGCTTACCCTAGATAAAGCATCAAGTTGTTTGCTTACAATTTTACTTCCTTAAAATAGCTTGACCAGAAAAAAAAAAACGGAAGATTTATTTCACTTTTTAATGTTTGAGATCCAATACTAATTTGTACATTTCTCACATTATTGTATGAAATAATTCTAGAACCATTCTTAGATCTCTATATGTTCACTGAGAATAATTATCTAATGAACAATGATATACTTCACTTGCTTTTAAAAATCACATATTAGAAAATAGCTCTAACTAATTTCATTAATAACTGAAGATTACGTCACATTTGAACCTTAAATTTAATCTTAATTATCCTGCGGGAACTATTTTATCTTTTGAGGAGTAATGTTATATCAATCACTTATTTGCATTGACAACACATCTTATAAAGCATGTCCACCGTTATGAAACGACAAAATTGTGGTAAAAGGACATATATAAAGACATTAAAGACAAGTCTCACTGTAGTGATTATCAGCTAACTCAGTTGCAATGATGATCTAGAATAACCTTAATCTAATGCAACCAAGCAATGGAGTTCTGATATACTTTCTGTGAACAAGCTTGTACAAGTGTACGAAAATTTACGTCCTGACGGCAAACAGAAACCAAAGCCAATAGACGGAGCCCGCTTTTTGTCTTGAAATAATAACTAGAATATAAGATGGAGTCAGGGTTGAGGTAATTAAATGAGTTATATTTCCATTTCGATTTGTTTTCTCTGTGATAACTCTTTGAAAGTTAGGAGAGTTGATTTCTTGATCATTTCACTCGAATGCAAATTTCGCCAAGCGAAAGGTCAGGAGCTAAGAAGGCCTAATATGCATGAAATTCTCTTGCGGCTGTCTTTGTGTCTGACTCTAAGGAGGCCTAATATGCATGTAATTCTCGTTTGGCTGACTTTGTGTTTGACGTCAGTGGGCGGGGACTATTGAAATTGACATGTGAGGCCTCGTGTAATTTAAATCTATTAGTCTACATTTTTAAAATCTAAATTTACATTTTTATTTCACAATGAAATGGAAATATAAGGAATCACTGTCTAGTTAGTAGAGTATGCCAGGGACATCAACGATAGTTGGAAACGTGGGATAATTTATGCATAAAGGCTTTGCCCGTTATGCAAATTATCCCACGTTTCCAACTATCGTTGATGCCCAGGCATACTCTACTAACTAGACAGTGATTCCTTAAAAGATGCTTTTTTTCTAAAACGTCTTACTTGTATTATGTAAGGTGTATTCCATCTTAATAAGCCTTAGTAAGCCTTGTGACGGTACATATTGTCGTTTTGTACATATTGTCGTCGGCGACAATATGTACCTACCCTCACTGAACATATTGTCGTCCATCTGTACATATTGTCGCCGACTGAAAAGTTACATATGTACATATTGTCGCTGGCGACATTATGTGCCTCACCCTCACTGTACATATTGTCGCCCCAAAGATATTGTTGTTTAAAGATGTCTTTTGCTGTTTTTTGGTAGTTTTGTGAATGTTATTGGTGTGAGAATCACACTGACGTGTCTCGTTTGCTATTTCTTGCAGCGTGATTGTGACGGTGCATTTTGTCGTCCTGTTCATATTGTCGCCGGCGACAATGTGTACCTTCCCTCACTGCGCATATTGTCGTCCATCAGTGTTATTGTATATGTTAACTTTATTATTTAATTATGAAATTTTACCTGTGGAATAAGTATATAGTATATACAAGTTAAACAAACAGAATTTACCAAAGCAAAAAAAAAAAAAAAAAAAAAAAAAAAAAAAAAAAAAAAAAAAAAAAAAAAAAGATCAAACCACCAAGCGGGGGAGGGGGGGGGGGGGGAGGTTGCTACATCTGTCTTTGGTGTTTGAGAAAATTTCTAAAGATTTTCTGTATATATTCCTATGTAAAATTTTGATCACCCATTGTGGCTCACATTACACCTGGGGTCATGACTTGAACAAAATTGATTTTGTTTTTGTTTGTTGTAAAAATGTGTTCTTGAAAAGAAGCTGAAATTATGAATAGTTAACAGACAGACGGACGGTCAGACAAAATGTGATCAGTAAAGCTCACTTGAACTTCCAGTTCAGGTGATCTAAAATGTTATTTTTTGCGTTATTCTTATATTATGATTAACAATAAATAATATTTATAATATCATATCGGCACATGATCGTATATAAGAATAATTTCCAAATAATATTAGACCGTTCACGGTAGCTCAGTCGGTAGAGCGCTCGCTCCGTGATCGGGAGGTCGTGAGTTCGAATCTCGGCCGCGACAGACCTAAGTCGATAAAAAATAGGTAGCAACTGTTCCTTCGCCATGCGCTCGGCACTTTGAAGTGAAAGTTGCGGGTCATTCGGATGAGACCTTAAAAACCGAGGCCCTATGTCACGGCAGGCGTTGGCACGATAAAGATCCCTCACTGCTCAATGGCCCTGAGTGCCGAGTAAAGGTCAAAATTTGAAGCCCTTCATCGGTATATGGTGACGTCTCTATATGAGTGAAAAATTCTCGAATGGGACGTAAAACAAGATACAATCAATCAATCAAATAATATTACTACTGAACAAAAAAAAAATACCTGTATTCAATCTCCAATTATATATTACAAGAAAAAAAGACTAGCTGACTTATCAGATATCTCGAGAATTACGGTATCTTGATATTCCACAGTGATGTACATCAATCCTGGACACAATTTTCTGACCAAGAAGTTTTCTCCCTACCGTATTGCGAGTAATGCTGTCTGACCCCCTCCGTTCATGTGTCTGTTTGTCAATTTCTCTTTCTTTTCTCAAGTAAATATTCGTCAAAACAATGTATCGACGACAATATATACCGACCTTGACTGTACATATTGTCGTCGACGACAATATGTGCTGGTGCTTGACTGTACATTTTGTCGTCCATTATGCAGGAAGAAAATAAGGCTCGTCTCGGTACATATTGTCGCCGGCGACAATATGTACCGATGGACGACAATATGTGCAGTGAGGGTAGGTACATATTGACGCCGACGGCAATATGTACAAAACGACAATATGTACCGTCACAAGCCTTAATTGCAAGGTGAACTTAATTGTTTTAGAATAAAAATCTCATTGACAAGGGCATATTCATACAAAAACCATAAAATGTATACAAAACGATCTAAATTAAGATGTAGCATCTGGTCAAATATTTTAAACTCTACTCGTAGAAAAAAAATGTGTCCATAAAAAGGATATATCGATCCAACTAAAATATGATTGCTATCAAAATATACAATTACAAATATCTGCACTTCATCCCCAGATCTTGTTCTTCGTACGATCTTACATGAAACAGCATGAGCAATATCAGGAAAATTTCAATAAAAGAAGTTGTTTCTTCAATGATTTCACTGACGAATAATTTTTTGTAAATCAGAAACCAGCAACCTTTCTGGACAGGCACATGGTGGATATATTAATTTTCACAAAAACCACAACAGGACGACCATACAATAATATACAATATATAAATGATAAATGATTTTATTCGTAAGTTCTAATCCATGTATGTTACTATCTCTAAACCTTCTTTCACCCATTTTGTAAAACATTCAACACAACTCAACTCTATTCCGTACAAAATATCGTTAAATGTTAGCTGTCATCCATTTTATATGTATTTTATCTGCTTTACTTTACCACTGTATTGCTCAGCTACAAAGAGGTTATCTTTGGAATTAACACATATTGCCCATGGGTTGCTTAAATTACAGTTATCAATGTAGCGAAGAAACTTCCCGTTTTCGTCTAAGATATGCACGCAGTGGTTGTTAGAGTCTGTTGTCACAATCTGACTTTGGCTGTCTGTAGCAATGCCATGAGGATAAAATGCTCCCTTGCATGGATGGCCAGTATATCTAAAACGTAGTTTTCCAATCTGATTGACCACTATTACTGCGCCAGTTGCAATGTCAGCAACACATACATCTAGATTTCTGTTCTCAGCAATGTATTTCATACTGCCAGATGGAAACAAAGGTTTGCCCCTATGATCAAATTGAATAGTTTGTTTTTCTGAAGAGCCGGAATAACGTACAATCTTTGATTCCGTATCTCTAGCCATAGTAACAAGAAGGTCACCAGAAAAAGCAACACAAACGTTTTCTGCAATCCACCCCATTAATCTTATAACTTCTTCTATTTGCTTATTTTTTACTAAGTTAATAGTTTGTGTGACTTCATCGATGTAGACAAGTTCTCCATTTTCAGTCACTGCTATTTCCCGAGGTGGGATCTTTGACTTAGTTTGAATTGTCCTCAGTAGTTTGCCATGGAGGTTGTAGAGTTTCATAACTTTGCTGTTCCCACAAGTCCAGATTTCTTCGTCACTTAGGCAGGAAACACTATTCAGATATTTATATCCAGTGTCGATGGTGCCAATGATCTCAGGATCATCAAGCAGTGGTTTGACTGGAGGACAAGGAACAACTTCCAGTGCCTTCAGCGTGTAGCCATGCTTTTCTTTAATAAAAGATAAAGTTGAGAGAGAACCAAACAGTTGAGAAATTTGTTCTCTGTTGACTTTCTCAAAAGAGAAACTTGGTAAAAATGCTGTAACTTTAGGAGGCAATGTTCTGAAGAAAGCATTGCAGGATTTGTACGTAGTGACTAGGGAGACGTCATTGGAATCTAACATTTTCTTCAGATCTAAAATAACTTGTTTTGCTTTAGAAATGTTCTGATTAATTTCGAATTCTTTTTCATTGAGGGTTTCCAGGTGCTTCTGCGTCATTTCCTCAATGTTTGAAATTTTGTTTTTTACAAGAATGTCAATCTCTTTATGCCAGTCTGCTCCTTGCTTTGTGACATCTGATTTTAATTTTTTGTAGTGATTTTCTGCACTTTGTTTTTCCTTTATGATGTCCAATGAAATTTCTTCATATATAGGGCATATAAAATCTTGCAGTTCTTTGATATCTGTATCAATATCATTTTGTCTGGATTTCAATATTTCCAAAAAATGCTTTAACGTGTGACCTTTGTGGGAGTTGGACGAAAGACAGGACAAACATAGAGGACAGTCACAGTCCTCACAAAAAAGTTGACAATGATTTTTCATATGAATCGTACACTCGGGAAAAATAAGAGTGGATCCTCGATCTTTAAATCTGACCACTTTATGTTCCTTTGATAAATCAGAGAGATGCTCCCCCACACACGCTTTACAGAGTTTGATATGGCAAAAGTCACAGTGCATTGAAGGAATAGGAGTTTCACATAGATCACATCGCAGAACATCTTGGGCACTGCATTTGGAATCCATGGTTAAAGTTCATTACACAACATATCTTGAAAAAAATATTCTAAACGTATAAATGTTTTGCAATAAGACTTTTTTTTCGGCAATTATATGTATCACCATATTCTTTGTGACAATGATATGAAAAATTTTAGTATTAGGTGAAGCTGTACTTCCGATTTTGTTCAGCAAAAAGAAATAGAAATCACTCAAAAGTGTAACTCTCCATCAATCTTAATATGGAAATTAATACTTGTATAATTTTGAATGATCATATTGCGACTGTACAAAACTTTTTACCAAAACAAGTAAGATCAAGTTACAAAGGTAATTTCGGAGTCAGATTATTTTTAAGAAGGGAAAGATCTAGAAAAGATTTAAACTGCTTTTCCTCCTTCTTCATGACTTCAAAAAACCACATACTCGAAAACGTTTTCTTTATTACATTTCTTATGTAATTCAAAAGCTACATTTGATACTATTATTTTATGTTATCTCTTGAATACAAAAAAAAAATGATCATTTATCAGAACTTTATTTGCAAGGGGGGATTCGTATGCATTCTGGATTTTTTGTAGTGAAATTCGGAAAATCCCAAGGTATTTATTTTTCCTCAATGATTCATCATTGAAAACACCTTTAGACCAGTCCTTATTTTTGAAACACTTGTTTCTAACATAAAAGTTGATTTCTATTTTCTATTTCTATTTTCACATTTGTGGTTCTCTTATGACAAAAAAATTTAGCAATTTGTAATTATTAGACCTTTCTTTTAAATAAGCTTTGTTGATAGATTTCTATACAAACAGAAAATTCAATATTTCACAGCAATTTATACTGTATGTGTATTTTTTTTTTAAATTTGGTTGCGGTTTTCTATGATTAGGATTGTTTCTCAAATGCAATGTTGTTGTATATCTATCAAATTTTTTACTTGCTAAGAATTAGTTTTAAATACTCCATCCCTGTAAAAATTAAAGACGATAAGTGTGAATGTGTGTGTGAATATTATAATAAACACCTATTTATTGGTTATGAGGACAATAGCAAGTTTATTGTCCACAAAAACAGTGACTATTTAATCCCGAGGCGCAAGCGGGAGGGACACCTATCTTGTTATGGTCCTAATAGTCAGTAAATACAGTACATGTAGGTGTTTTATTATACCGAAGCAGACTTGTGTCATTTCACGATCCGGATAAAACCAGAAGATTTCATTACCGAGATGATTGCGAGGGAAATGGAATACTGCCCTAAAATAGTTCATGAATAGCAAAAAGCACAAAACTTTTCCATGGTAAGGGCTGTTTAAAAAAATAGAAGGATTTTTCATCATATTTTTTTTATATAAGAATAATCACAGAGGTATGATAAAAACAAAAATATCATTATGTTAATTATTTTGTCTTTCTTTGGAAAAAAGAAATAATTTACAGAAGGCAATTATCAAATAAAAACACCTAACCTGTTTCTAATGTTAGTATTAAAGAATAACTGTCTAATTTTTTTGGTTTCATGATGTGATCAATCGATTGGCTTGCGTGATAATTTGCATAAACGCCGAAGGCGTTTATGCATGAAATTATCACGCAAGCCAATCGACTTTCACTTCAAAGTGTCGAGTACATGGCGAAGGAACAGTTGCTACCCATTTTTTATCGACTTAAGTCACTCGCGGCCGAGATTAGAACTCACGACCTCCCGATCACGGAGCGAGCGCTCTACCGACTCTTTTTTCTATGTATTTTAACCTCAGTATCTCCAATTCACAGGCGTTCGCTCCGTGATCTGGAGGCCCGGGATCGATTCTAGTTCGCAGCGCCGCATCAAACCTAAGACATAAACATAGGTAGTGACTATTCTTTCGGCAAGTGCCCAGCAACCAAAGTGAATGTCACGGGTGTTTCGGATGAGACCTTAAAAATCGAGGTCCCTTGTCACAGTAGGCGTTTGCACATTGAAAAGCCCTCACTGCTCAAGTGCTGGGTATAGGTCTAAATTTGAAGCCCTTCACTGGTAAATGTGAATGAAAAAAAAATCCAATGGGACGTAAAACTACAAACAAACAATCACTCAAATTACAGATATCTCGAAATTTTTTCTCTGTTCATTTGAGTTCAAGATAACGCGATTTGACTACATGAAAAACTAGAATACATATTTCTTGAAGAATTCCCCAGTCCGTATTTGAAGAATACTACAACTTCCAGTTATTTAGTATTTATGAAATAAATCTACAAATGACTAAATTTGTGATACGTAGTTTGAAAGACATTATCTTATGTTGTATATAATACAAATAAGCTAATGTACAACATACATTAAAAATACAATTAACTTTCAGCTGATGCCAATAAAATTATACAGAGCGAGTCCTGTGGTTATCAATTCTTACAAAGAAACGAACAACGAAGAAACCGGAAGTACAAAAGTATTTTCAAAAAGACAATTAAATGACACTTTTATCAAAAATGGACTTACGTGCTATTGTAGAAAAGTTCTATTTGCCACGAGGAAGTAAACAACAAACTCAGAAATGTAATAACTCTGATAATTTGTATACTTAAATAATTATGTTCCGTTCTGAAATGTTTCCGGAGAAACTCATCAATCTCTTGAGGATCGAAACAAGTTGTACCAGAGGAGAGGCCCCATAGATTTAAAATAAACACAAGCACGTACTTATCTTTTTCCTAATTATAAATGTACATCTTTATACAATAAGTACTTAATTTCAAATACTAATGTTGTGTGTGTACATGTATTCAAGTGCATTTGAACAATTGCTTGCAATTACCAAGTTATTGATATAAAGAACTTCAAAAGATTTAAGAACACACGAACATTTCCAGAACATTCATTATTATGTGTTGCTTTTAGCTATATATATTTATTGCCATTATATACTGAAGGGAACAAAAAACGCATATCTTTTTATTGATGAACTTTAATTGCATAATCATGGTTAAAATAGTTTCGGATTATTTTGGACTTTAAATAATCTTTAAAAATGGATATGCGATAGAAATATTACTCAACCATGACTGGTGTGCTTGACGTGAGCACGAGTAATTTGCCTCTGAGCTTCGGCTTGAAAACCATGTACCTGGAAATTTGAGTAAGATGAACTATTGATAGACGATAAGGGCCAACTAACAACTAGATTGTATGATAAACGAGATGATTTCAGCTTTTCCATCGTCAACTTTCCTTATTTATGTAGTAATATTCCACTATCACCTGCATATGGTGTTTATATCTCCCACCTTATTCGATACTAAAGAGCATGCTCCTAGTACCGATCAGTGTTTAATCCAAGGCAGGGTACTGAAAAATAAGTTGAAGTTACAGGGATTTAAAAAACATCGTTTAAAGTCAGCATTTCGTAAATTCTATGGTCGCTGTAACGAGCTTTTAGCAAATTTAACCTACCATGGGGTCGTATTTTGGCTGACATGTTTCATTCTAATTGTTAGACCTTTGTTTCTTTTGTAAATTTGACTACAAAATGTTCAAAAGAGGGTTCACGACGGGTGCGATGACTGGGGATGCTTACTCCTCCCAGGTACCTGATCCCACCTGCAACCCCCAGGGGTCCGTGTATATATCCTGTTCACAGGTTTGTTTTGTTTATAGATTTTTTGAGATCGATCACTGTTCGTTATCTTCACCTTTTTCATTTTGCAATCTACAGTGATTTTTTTTTAAATGTCCGGTGAGAATTCGAACAAAGTTTGACCTAGAAGATATCACACCTTACTGAAAGCTAAGGGAGCCTGGTTATTGCCTTACTAAGGCAAAGACACCAACAGAATAAAATTGCTGAGCAAATTAATGTCCCAATCCACCATATTGTAACTAGAACTAAGACTCGTGTTAGCAGGAAGCGGTAGAGACCGTCCAAAAAGCGGACGTCATCGGTGGAGGGGGGGGGGGGGGCAACGGGACTTCCGGACAGAGACATCCGTCTAATCCACCGACAGAACAGGTTTCAAACTGCAAGAGAAACTGCTAGTAACATTTTCTGGACGCCATAATACCAGACTTAATGAGAAACCGGTACGCAATAGTCTCATAAAGGAAGGCTTCAAGGCAGACTGGCAATCCTAAAAAGGTCTTGTAACAATTACAAGAATTACACATATGAAATATGAAAGCCCTAGCGTGAACTGTTCAAAAGTTATGGCCAAGGTTAATGTTTCTGCGGACAAACAGACAGCTAGACAAACAGTTAGGCAGACAGGCGAAAAGACAGACCAAAAATAATTTGACCCAACATCTTTGATTACAAAGCCATTAAAAAAAAAATAAAAGAATTAATTCTTTGTGCTTGTATGTGGAATGATATGTCATAAGATCCAAAATTATCAAAACCATATCAACAAGAAGTAAATTAAGTAGATGGATAAAGAATGTTATAACCCTTAAAACGGGGTGGGGATTTTAGAAGATATACTCCTATATTCCTTGATATTTACGAGTAGATTGACTTGAGAGGTGCGATTATTTAAGATATCTACTAGGGATGTCAACGAATAGTCGACTATTCGACTATCAGTCGAATGGACCGACGATCGAATAACGAAACGACATTCGAATAAATAAATTCAGTAAAAGAGTGATAAAGAAATGGAATTCTCATCCTAAAATCGGGAAACCGTCTTCCCTCAGACACAGTTGATAAGATAATTTTAATCATTAAAAACTGCTGACTTTACAGGTAGTAAGTACAGTGATTAGAAATGCTTCACTTTCGCGAGAATTATTTGTCAATTAATGTGTTGTTTTTGTAATGAAATTATCTTGCTATAGTGCGCTTTCTTTGTGAAATTATTAATTGGACTTGATCTCATACCATGTAACCATTATAACCATGACATGTTTAGACACTACGATAATTACTGCAAAATTAATATTCTTTTACGTATTTTAACGCTGCATTTTAATTCCGGAATTTTGCATAGCATTTCCGATATTTTTAAATCTCATTTCCGACAATTTTTATTTTGAAATGTTGCCTATGTTAAAGACTCTATAGTTATAACTAGAAGTATATTCAAATATTTAACATTATCACAGATACCGTGCCCCCCCCCCCCCCTCCAATCATTTTTTATTTATTTATACATAATTTTATTCACATGAAGTGAATGGGATTAGGCAGCAGGCATAGCCTATTTTAGCCCTCTCCCTACAGCAAGGTCAAGGTAAATACACTGCATAACATTAATTAAACAAACAATTAAAAAATGCGAGGAAAAAAAACGGGGGAAAAATACAATGAAGTACCGGTTTGGAAAAATTGACAAAAGTTATATATACATTTACATGACAGTGTTCAAGTAAAACGTTCTGTTGCTGCTATATATGCATGTACTGCTTCAAAAATTTGTATATTAATATTGAGTCCATGATCAGGACTACCATATAATAATAATTTAAGTTCAGAAACCTGATTACAGTCATTAATATCCAATCATTCTAATAAGCTTTAAAAAAAATGTATCGTACTGTCATTTTAAAACCGACTTTACAGACTGATTTATGAACATTATTGACGGGGAAATAATACATTTTGGAGAAATTAGCGGTCCATATTTAGTAAATATAAACATGCTATCCACATTTTAGGTCCATGTGAACATCTGTGTGTAACGTTTGATGTAACTTTTTAATAAATTTTAAAAAGAGGGGATTTGGGGTTAAATATGCCATGCACCAGCTAGTGACCTTTGAAATAAGTTTCCGAAAAAGTTTCGAATATATTCGACTATCGTTCGAATAATGCAATCGAATATTCGACTAAAGAAAATAAATATTTTGACATCCCTAATATCTACACATTTTCAATTTGTCACCTTAGAAAGACAAAGTTTATAATAAAAAGCTATCTATTTTTGAATAAATAAATAGGTGAAAAAATACTGAAATATGAAAATAATGAACAGTAATCAAGGTCAAAAGTCCGTTTTAACAATACAAATTTAGAGCAGAGCAAACATGGACCTCTAAAAATATAAGTGGGGTTAGGTGCCATGTGAAAGTAAGCATCCCCTGACGACCGCTCAAACCCGCCGTATGTTTCTTGTCATGATCGGGAAAACGGAAAAATCCGAAGAAAATTTAGTCTGAAAATACTGGCCTAACAATTTGTATGAAAAGCATCAGAAAAAATTGACCTGACAATACATTCTATTTGCTTACAAGGTCATTGTATCAACCATAGATTTTCGAAATGTTGACTTTAAAGGGGACTGTTTATAGATACTGCTCATGATCATATTACAGGGAAAAAATATTAGGATAAAGGCCAAGATAGGCTAAGACCTCTTTTTGGTCCCTGGTTTGGGGTGTCTTTTAGAATGGTACAACAGTTTGTCAATTAAAAAAAAAAACATGTTAACATCCCTTCCACAAAATGAGTATTGGTTCTAAGTTATGGGATACACAAAGGTTACAGAAAGGTCAGAAAATATGTCAATTTCCGAATTTTCTCATTTTATGCAAATTTTCATCGATTTTACAGCACATTTTGTTTCAGAAAACATAGAGCATAAGCTTGCCTATTTACCAAATTTATATATTTCATATACTAGTATCAGATACATCTTTTGTATAAAAATCTCAGATAGGCAAGCTTGTGCTCTATGTTTCCCGAAGTGAAAAGTATCTCAAATTTGATGAAATTCTACCAGAATTGAGGAAATTCGGAAAAATGTCCTACTTCTTTACCCTCTTGTGGCCTCCATGCAAGCTTTGAATCAAAATTAGTGCTACTTTTAAAACAAGCATCATTTTAAACTCTTAATTACAAACTATCAAAATTTTAATTGTGTTATGATTTTTACATCAAATAGGTAGCCAGACTCGGCCGTTATCATGCCTTATCTTTTATCTTGAATATTAGGAGGAAAGTTGACAGTAATTAAATCAATATTTTGAAGTACAGGTTCTATAGAATTACATTTAATTTTATCTTCATTTTTACATTCAGTGTCCAATACACATGCTTTCAGACCACTATTCTTTTCGTTTTATTAAGAACATATATAGTTTAAAGATGCAGCAATAATTTATTTATTTGTTGGAATAAAAGATACGAACAGATATTTCATAATTGTATCATCTAACCAAAAAAGGGCAGTTAATCCTTTACATTCCTTTTTAAAACTTACTGCATATTATAGAATACATTTTGGAGAAAGGACCTTAAAATTATGATAAACAAGTTATTTTAAGATTAAAAGCAATTTGCAATATTGCAAACTAATTTTGACTTCATTTCTATCATTTCTTTTCCTTCAAATAAACTAGAGTGATAAATTAAACCAAATGGTGGTTATCTATTCTTTAAATGTTATGCTACAATTATAGTTAAAAAAAAAAAAATAAAATGAATAGTGAGACAAAATGAATAATAATATTTATCATAAAATTCAAAATTTACAGTCAATATAAATTCAAGTTCAAATTATTAAACAAATTGTTTTTATGCCCCGTATCGAAGATTCGGGAGAATATAGTTTTTGCCCTGTCCGTCTGTCTGTCAGTCTGTCTGTCTGTTTGTCTGTTTTTCCGCAAAAACTTTAACATTGCCCATAACTTTTGATTGGTTGATGCTATGGCTTTCATATTTCACAAGTGTATTCCTTGTGACAAGACCTTTTCTTTGGGTACAATCATATTTGACCTTTTGACCTTGACCTCGGAGTTTGACCCAGTTTTACAAAATTTTGACCAACTTTAACCTTGGCAATAACTTTTGAACAGTGGGTGCTAAAGCTTTGATACTTCACATGTGTAATGCTTGTGAAAAAACCTTCCTTTAGATGCCAACAACTTTGACCCTTTGACCTTGACCTAGGAGTTTGACCTACATTTGAAAAACTTTAAACTTGGTCATATCTTTTGAACGGTTGGCGCTATCGCTTTCATATTTCACATATGTAATCCTTTTGACAAGTCCTTCCTTTGGATGCCATCTACTTTGACCCCTTGACGTTGACCTTGGAGTTTGACCTACTTTTTGAAAACTTTAACATTGGCCATAACTTTTGAACGGTTAGTGCTAGGGCTTTGATACTTCACATGTGTAATCCTTTTGACAAGACCTTCCTTTGGATACCAACAACTTTGACCGTTTGACCTTGACCTAGGAGTTTGACCTACATTTGAAAAACTTTAAACTTGGCCATATCTTTTGAACGGTTGGCGCTATGGCTTTCATACTTCACATATGTAATCCTTGTGACAAGACCTTCCATTGGATGCCAACAACTTTGACCTTTTGATCTTGACCTTGGAGTTTGACCTACTTTTGATAAACTTTAAACTTGGGCATATCTTTTGAACGGTTGATGCTAGGGCTTTCATATTTCACATGCGTTTTACTTGTGAGAAGGCCTTTTCTTGGGAACCATTTTTTGACCATTTGACCTTGACCTTGATGTTTGACTTACCTTTGAAATTGTTTTTACCTTTTACATATCTTTTAAATGGTTGCTGCTAGGGCTTTCATATTTCACAGGTATATTCCTCGGGACAAGAACTTACTTTGGGTACCAACATATTTGATTTGTATTTGAGAAAGTTTAACCTTCGCTATAAGTTGCCATACGGGGGCATCAGTGTTTCACAAACACATCCTGTTTTAAATAATCATCCATTCATACGAGTTTATTTCAACGATCCTCAAATTTCATGAGTCCAAGTCAATATACCTATACTGAACTTACACACCCTTACTAATGTTATTGTGATTTAAATTCAAGACACGTAGTGTAGGTTGACCCATTTAATGGTTATAGGGTAGAACAGGTTTTATAAATAAAATTGGCAGTAAACAGGACATTGTTATATAGTCTGTTTCTTTTAAAAACATGTCCAATGAAAAATGTTTTTCCAGACCTTTCTGAACGATTTTTATGATTTTAAACAGAAAAAAAAAACTGAAGTGGTGGGGGTTAAAAATCACAATCTACTTAATCTTCCCTTTTGTGATAAAGACGGCGAAAATTGGAGCTTAGTAATGACAATTTTTCCTAAATCGCCCATTACCTAGAAAAAAGAATATCTTCTACAATGACAAATCTTTGTTTACCTCATATGGCTATTCTTAATAATGTGCACAGAGGATCTTACCATGAACAATTGACCAATAATTGAATGAATAGCAACGTTTACTAGTCAGGTATATGTTTACATATTACTTCGAACACGTGGTTCAGGTCAATCTACGATCAATATTAATGGACTCCCAAAAAGAACTCAAAAAACATGTTTTTTATGAAAAAATACAATGATTAGAAACTATGAAATATGTCACGGCGTTTGCAATTTGTTGTAACGTTGTTAACTAGAAAATGTATATACATGTAAATGTATAATTAAATGTAGTCTGTGCCTTGTTCAGAAAACCAGCACTTCAAAGTTAAGGAAAACGAGCAGCATCTCTTAGGCATTTAAACATTTAAATGGACAACAAAGTTTTTTTACATTACAATACCCGTGCCCGTGATCACATGTGCTTTTGGCCAGGGAACCCACCTCACAATTGCATTCACCGATAGTACAACAAAGGAATGCAAATGCAAATCGTCTTACAGTTTGGTTTGAGAAAGCTAGAAATCCACATTTATTTAACAATTGAATTGTTTTTATTTGTAAGCATTAAAATACCGTAATATAATAAAAAATGCATGAAAAAAATGTTCTTTGTGCCTTTCCAATCGTCTGTAGATTTGTGCGTTTTTTTCCAAGCGTAAAATTCATGTAGTATCCGTAGTAACCCACAATGCAATTCAACTCATTCAGCTGATTTTTCAGTTTAAGCCATGTTGGTACATGTACCTCATTTGCTAATCTGACTACAAAAAAAAAAAAAAAAAAAAAAAAAAAAAAATAGTCCCAGTTCCCATGCAAGTATGTTTGTCCAAAAAAGAAATTTTAATACAAAACTGCAGAAAATAATTTCACTAGGAATACTTATTGAAGTTTAAAAAGTTTAAATGAATTCAAGAGAGACTGAAGTACATTTCTACAGATATTACACAGTGGTGAAAACTGAAACGCAACATAACTTTTCTGTTTACCATGTCTCCACGTGCTAGTCACCTCCCACCCACATTTCCGTGAATCTCGCTGTAGTCTCACTAATTCTCGCCAGAGCTACTCTGGACTCTGAACTCCTCGGGTTTTATAATTTGCAGAACACCGAAAAATAAAAGGTTCCGAACACATTAGTAGGGGTGTTACGGAACAATCGAAACATTACATGGAATTTTTCGTGAAATCGAAAACAACTTTGGTCTTCGATCTCTGATAAGGCGACTAAATTTAATTAAAACAAGTTTATTAATAAGAGTTTATTCAACAATATCCACGATTCACTATCAGAAGCCGGTAAACCGATCCCGTATCATAAATGGAACAATAAAAAAATTTTACGAGATCGAAAACATCACTTGGAGTTTTTCCGTCAAGTCGAGAAAAATCGAGGTTTTATCTTGGCTGACGGAGGGCGAGTAATTTCTGACTGTTATCAGAATGTATATAATTTTCAGCTTATGTGGTTAATGTCATCAACACATTTAAAATAATTTGTTATAAATGGGTTTATAAATGCTAGTTGAGTTATCTTCTCAAAATTCATGACGGAGTATTTTTGACAACAGGCCAAATGTCAGGCTCAGTTGTACTGTAACGCTGACATTTTTCAACATGTCTAATGACAAGCTGTGCACTTGTGAAAAAGAACAAGCTTACCTCTAATATTTGCATTATGTTGTATATTGAAAAGTAGGTTGAACGTCAATTTCAAATGTCTCTAGGTCGGTAACCCTGGTATTTTGCAAAAGCCATTTTCTCCAAGCAAAACATGAGTCAAATGTCAAGTCTCTACCTCTAACAGTTCTCAAGATATAAGATGTAACAGACGAACAGACGGACGGTCAGTTAGACAGACAAAGTGAGGTCGGGTAAAGTGCTCGCTAAGTGTCACTCTGGTCTGCAGACAACACAAAAATCAATTTGTAAAACATCAGTACAGCAGCGTAGTTTATAAATCAAGAAAAAGGACTCGTCTGTTGCGACTAATTGCCAGGGATGTATACACATCCTCAGTGCATATTCCCACATCTGATGCCTGCTCGATTGCTCTTTATTCAGTTTGTAAAGTTTAAACATTGAACTTGATTACTTGACCATCACATTTGACATGGATAAT